ATTGCGGACAGCTCGCGGCTTTGTGTCCGATGATGTGGCACACAAAACATTTCTTCTCTCGCAAACAAAGGCGAGTCTCCTTCCCGGTGAGATGCGCAGCGGCGAAGGTGTTTCTGGTAGTTGCCATATTGGAGATGGGTTCTACGATCTTCGTGGTATCCTTTTCTTGGAACTTTCCACAGTGACGGCGGTTCTTATATTCTTGCGACTGGTCAGGCCGGTACGATTAGGTTTCTAAATCAGGGATATGAGAATCCTTTCGGGATCTAGGTTCGGGGTTCTACGAGTGTCGGTAACGTTGACAGCAAGTGCGATCAGTTATCTTGTAGCCTGTGATGGAGGCGTACAGTAAAGGGACTTTAATCCTTTGTTACGACGTGTGTCGCGTGCGGACTGGGATGATCTAACAGCGACGATCACGACAGTGATACCTCGTGCTGAGAGTCCGAGGTCGGCTTCCACAGAAGAGCAGAAGTTGCGTACGTTCACGGAGGTGAACGATGATAGCGAGTTACAGGCAGAAGGGGTCTCAAGTCCTTCTGAAGGTGCGGATCTGATGTCAAGCAGGTAGCTTTAGCAAGACAAAGGTTTCGATGGTAAACCCAGTAGGATTAAAGTAAGGAACATCTACTTTAATCGTCGACCTTATATAAGGCTACTCTATCGTATCTAAGCTCAGCTTGAAGCTGGGTTCTAAGTGCTTATCTATCGAGTCAGAGATACCATGCATGAGGCAGGCTTCTATCAGTACATGAGGCAACACGAGGCTTGCCTTCTATCTTGATAACATATATAGGTCTTCTAGACCTATGTCGTCATATCATGTAAGCGATCCAGATCGCTTACCTAATCCGGCATCTTCCGGACTTCTCTTCTATTCGTCAACTGTTCGTCATCTATTCGTCGAGGCCCAAGGGGCCCGGGTATCGTATCGTATCGTTACCGTGCAGGGTGGCAGAGGGCAGGTCGTGTAGCTGGGGGCTCACGTAGTGACTGTAACAGCATGCCAGAAGCGGCAGTAGATGATTACAGCACCTTTTTAGATGAGGTGAAGGTAATGTATCCTGGATGGGATGGTAAAAGACGCTACGCGCTCGCGGACTTGCGCGCCATTGCGCGCGAATACGCTAACAAACCAATGCCTTCTTGCACAGAACTCAGCAATTACCTGCGCGCATTCAGGAAGGTTATGCAGCCACTCATGGACGAAGACTGTATTGGAAAGGCCGAACGCGACCGCTTATTCATGGAAGGAATCCCTAGCGATGCTCAGGCGCAAATCCGCTTGCGCCTTATGATCAAGTTCCCTGACCACCACCCATACGACCCATATCCATTTATGGACGTCTTTGCAGCTGCGCAGTTCCTATTATCTGGGCGCGCTTTTCCCGCGCCAAGCGCACCAGTAAGCACACCAATTAGCGCGCCCACTATAGCGCCAAACATGCCAGTTAGCGCACCAGTGGCTAAGTGCCAAGATCGCTATCACGCGAGCCACGCAACCCAGGATACGACCACCAGTACTAATGCGACAGCAGGACTCTTCTATTGCGCACCCTCAGAAGTTGCACTTGACAAAAGGCCACCAGTTCCTATTCTTGCGCCTCGCGCGCGCGCCTTTCCCGCGCCTTCGCGCAATTCACACACACCTCCACCATCAACTATGCCAGCATGCAAAGCTATACCAGACTGTATCACTCTAGATCACGAACTTGAGTGTGTGCTCGCAAAGCGCAACCAGACGTGCACTGCAGGCGCCTCTTCACCATCATCCTCAGCAGCACCATCTCCTTCACAATCCGCATCATCACCATCACCATCAATCGCGTCAGAAGTCAGGGATGACTCTAAACATCTATTGCACACTAACGCGCCAGTTGAAACACGCGCACCTATCGCTATCGCATCGCACGCGCCTATCGCTATAGCCTCGCCATTAGTCAGGGATGACTCTAAACATCTATTGCACACTAATGCACCGCTAGAAACACGCTCGCCCCTCGCTATCGCATCGCTTAAGGAAGAAACCTCGCCAATCACACCATCACCATCACTGCTCGCATCATTAAAGGTCAGGGATGACCCTAAACATCTATTGCACCTTAGCGCGCCTATAGAGGAGCCTCCTACCGCATCAGAGGCTCAAGTTGCACCTTGCATCAACCAGAGTTTGCCTCTGGTAACTCCAATTGTCACTAACGATTGCGCGCATGTCGCGCTTTTTGCTTCCAGTGACTATCGCGCACCGGTAAAACATCCGTGCATCACGCTGCACAACCACCAAGCAGAGCATGTCTCAGGCGACCCTGGCGCAACTCAGGCGCACCATATTGCGCCTGAGGACGCGCAATGCGCGCGCCTAGAGGCATTGTATATTTTTCCTCATCTTGTTTCGCGTTTTCTGTCTCTTTCATGTTTAAAGCTCTTAAGGAGCTATATGATGCTTCCAATCACTGTAACTTCATCTTTGCACCACCCCTTATTCACGCGCCATGATCACGCGCATCGCGCAATATGCGCGCGCGTTCCCGCGCCTCACGCACTCATAATTTTAGCAGAGTTTTCACGCTACCGCATTTCTATCGCTTCTCCCCTTCTAAACCGCATTTCTATCATTCAACACAAAGTATATTTCAATCAGCCATCCAGGCGCGACTTAGGCGCGCGCCTGACACATACATATGCGCCTAACTCCCCTATCATCATCTTTAACTTTGCACTTCCCACCTTTATTCACATTCTGCGCGCTTTTGCTTACCATGTCAATTTCATTCCTGTGCGCCTTGATGCGCACTATTCTCCTTCACCTATGCGCCTATTGCGCCTTGATATACCACCCTTACAGCCCATTGGCGCAACATTTGCGCCTAATTCTTCACTATACATGTCTCTCGCTAATGCATTTGCAGAGAAATGGCCGTTCCTCGCGTGTTCGGCCAATATAATTAAATTCGCGCGAAATCGCACCAAGGCGCGCACATCGCGCGCATCCTATCAGCTTGTAGGGCGCCCCTACACCCCTTGCAGCGCCTCCCATTGGCGCGCCTTCAACCTGCAGCGCGTTGTGCAGGAATTCATTCTGCCAGTTACAAGCCCCCCCCAAGCACGCCAGCCTCGCTCATTCCAACCCTACCTTGGGTAAAGCGTCAGCTCGCAAGAGACGCGAAGCGCGCTAGTCACGTGCACTCGCACGCGCTCAAGGAGGAGGATCAAGCGCCTCAGCCGCGCATGAAAGAACAACATATAGCATCGCTGTTTCATAGGATACCATTCGTTTTACCCTGGGTTTCATCCAGCGCTCTTTCATTTTATTTTCTCTCATTATAACGCCATCCAAAGAACTAATAACTCGCTGATATATATGCATATAGGAATCACTTAGAAGAACATAGAAGAAAAACAATCATAGAACGTGCCCGCCTAGCTCAATAGTATATTTTCTCTTCGCATGCATGACGCGGCACCATGCTCCTTTTTACCTTAGAACGCGCACATATGCGCGCAGTCTTCCCACGCTCACGCGCACATACACGCGCAATATTCACGCGCCCATACGCCTCGCGCGCGCACACATGCGCGCTTCCTGCGCCTCGCTCATAGGAAGGTGTAGATGTCGACAGCCGCACGAAGAAGACAAGTCGGATAGGACATCCGCAAAGTTTATCATTTTTTCCTTCGCATTTTCACATATAGTTTTACTCACACTGTTCAAACCTTACCACCTAATATTTAGCGCGCCTAGCAGGACTTGGTTTGGACTTGGATTGGATCGCTCTTGGACCGCACCACTTCGCATCATACGCACAATACAACACATGCGACACTCACGCGCTTTCTCGCGCCTTGCACGCGCGCACTTTCTCGCGCTTTATGCCATATGCGCGCCACATCCATATCACTCTCACATCATCGCCTCACACCCAGGGAACACTATTCACACCAGAGTCACCCTTGCAATTCGCCATGCTACGCTTCATTCCCGCGCCTTCACGCATAGCGCGCGCACATTCTCGCGCCTTGCGCGTACCATGCGCGCAACTTCCCACGCTTCACACACATCCACGCAATAATTCCTGCACTTGCGCATTCATCGCCCAACGACCCAAGCATCATACAGGCATCGCGCACACATACTATCACGCAAAATCCTCACCATGCGCGCGCTGAGTGGGGACACTCAGAATTTAAGTCCCTGGGAGATGTAGAGACTCGTGCATCTCATAGTGTGATATGGCGCTTTACACTAGGGAGTATACAGCACCAACTCGCAGCATCACTCTGTGTACCATCCACAGTGATTCCTATATGACGCGCAGCTTTCCTGCGCAACGCGCGCCATGCGTGCACCATTCCCGTGCTTCACGATGTATACGCGCGCGCGCGTTCCCGCGCTTGCGCGCCCTATAGCGCCAGCCATCCAGATGCATCCATCCATTGTCCACCAAGCTCCCTAGTGCGTATATTTCCATTTCCTTTATTAGCATAGTTCCACCTTTATTTTTATCATAGTTTCTCACTCATATATATTTTTACATACCTACTCGGTAGCGCTTCGGCTCCGCATGAGTGCGCTTAGGCGCGCTATATAAGCGCCAGCAGTACATACTATTATTTACCTTACTTTTCACCCAACTTTACCTAGTACTTACTACTTAGAAAGTCGCAGTAGAAATCTATTCATTAGCACAACACATCTCACATCCTTTATCTTGCTTATATCTTCACATAAGTTTAGTCTCTCTTATTTCCGCTTACACGCGCGCGCTTTCCCGCGCTTCGCGCTAATACGCGCGCGCGTTCCCGCGCCTTTGTACCTTGCGCGCACCTGCGCTTTCTCGCGCTTCGCTGAAGCGCGTACCTCTAGATCTCCGCTGCACCTGCTTCCCCTTTAGGGTCGAATGCACTTGCCATCTCAAGTATCGCAGACTAGGCAACGCACGACCTACAACTTTTTAGATACAGTCAGGAGCATTTCTTTGTTCCTCTCAGTATTGTTGTTTCTACACCGCAAAGTCAAGAGATCGCATTCGGTGACCAAATTGTTGTGCTATCGTGCATGCGATAATACAGTAGGCACTGAGAACGAAAGAGATGGAGCATAGCGTCTTTGTAGCAAGTGCTGAACCTAAACCTGGGATGGCAAGGATACTGGCGTCAACTGCCATGATGACGCTTGCCTAGCAGCCTAGACGGTTAGTGCTCTCATCTGGGTCTACAATATAGCACTTACAACCGTAGTTTGTGATTTAGCTTGTGCATTGAAATCGTCTAAGAATGCATTCATGTCCACCCCATTGACAAGACCATCAACATAAATTTTGCGGAGTCGCCTGAGCACCATCATCGGAATCCAGAGCATAGCAACGGCAACGGCATTGATGAAAGGAGAATTTTCGAGATCTCTGTGCCTCTCGCCCAGTGAATGTGTTCGCATCAAGCGAGCTTCGGGTTGGCCATGGTGGTTCAGAAATTCATGATGTCCTGTTGTGTGCCTCAATCAACAATGTCTGATATGAGATAGAGACAGCGTACGGAGTACATGCAACAATTTACCTGCCAGTGTGTAACGAGATAAGTTCAAAAATGGCCTATTTCTATGAGACTCACGTACCGCAGATTGCAACGCCTTGCTCCTCCATCACTCCATCACTCCTCGCAAGTTCTTCTGTCATTCGGCCATCAGCTTGAAGACACAAATTGTAATCAGGGTGCGTACCTGCAGTAGCTAGCTCAGCCATCATTTCTTTCATTTGATCCAACGTCCAAAATATCGAGCCCGCAATAGATTGTTCCAACGCTAAGGCCTCTGTCCATCATTCAGTGTATTTTCATCGGGCGCTGCGATAAAAAGAACTCGCCTACACGACACCAATTCAATTGCAGTCGCAAAGCTCTCACGTCCAAATCACGGATTTCGATCCCGTGCGGAAAATATTCGACGTGTTTCCTAGTCCTATAATGAGAAATGTTCTTGTTTTTTTTCCGTCAGAACATCGCTCACCAGTATTGGGCTTCGAGTTCGAGTCCTATGCAATAATATGAACTTCAATACCAACACACAAAAAATGTAACGCACTCACTTTTATGGTTCCAGTGCCATACCGTCTCACATTCCTGAAACAGGAGGAAGGCATCCACGGGTTCGATCCAGGTGATAATGCGATTCTCGGGTACCACATAATAATACGGGTAGATCTCCTTTCCTCTCGCTAAGATCGGCTCGACGACTAACAACCAGTGTTTTCCGTCTAGTTTAGATCTTGACACCTCGATCCAAGATTCGAGCTTCTGGAGGCGTTCATCGGAACAATCCCTCACGTTCATCCCGGTGTAAGTTTTCTTTATTGCTAATAAGTGAGTATGTAACTTGAAATATTATACGGTACTCACACTTTTTGCGTTGTAGTAGTAGATAGCTCCTGACGGATGAACAAACTCTTCCCAATGACCACGCACTTCGCGGCTGTCGATACCGCGGTTAAACATAAATAAATGTTATCAGAAATGAAGGTAACGAACCGAGTGAGGTCGATCTGCATCTTCTGCACATTGTAATCGCGACTTAAAGATTCACTGTCGCACATAGTCAGTACTTAAAGTCTCTCACAGTAGCAATGCGCGCTCACGGCAATGTTATTTCGGTGTACCGCCGTAGCTGGGTCGGCCAGATAGGAACACTGCGACTCAGCAGCTCCACCTCCGTATCAATTCCCCCAGCTTGGATCTTGCATGAAACCTTGAATAGACAGCTTCACTGGAGCTTCGTCAAAATAAAATGTACCATTGTGGCCAGAATTTCGGTGGTGTTGCAAAACGTGTTGGCACGAACTTGAAGGCTGTTCCCACGAGATGCATGACATAATTAGCAGCCACGCACGGACTTGAGTTTTTCAATGTATCCGTCCAACTGCGCGTTTCAGACGCAACATCTACAAGTACTCATATACATAAATTGCAATCAAACAAATTTTCTAAAACCTATTTGGGCCCCTGGCTCTGCGACCGGAGAATGAGATATCTGCGAATAATTGAGATCAAACCATGTCAAACCAATTTAAACCAGCTTACTTCTCCTACATGGCCAAAGCGTTTTTGCCAGAGAAACAGGAGGACCTGGCCAGTCATGAACCCTAAGTTCGCATGATCAGATTGCATTCGGGCTAGATCTCAAACTCTTACCTTCATCCTGAAAAGATACAACAGAGACTTAAATGCTGAGTACACAAAGAAAAGTGAGTAAGTTCGCTGGACGCGGCATCTAAAAGCAAACACGTCTGGTAGATCAGCACAAGACGCCCCTTCATGCCCCATCCTCACCTTCTTTGGGATATGTACTCCCATCAAATTCTTCTCGACCGTGATACCAAGTTTTCCAGGTGCCTGCTCCCGCTCCCCCCGTACCCCCCGCGTCCGAGACACACCCCGTTCCCACACACCACCCAAACCCTGCATCAATTTCTCGTTCGTCTCCATCTGCTCCTGCAACTCCGCTTTGGTGACAGTCTCGGAAGCGCCGCCGTATAAAGTTGCAGCGGACCATTTCACATCGTCCTCCTCATCCGCCGACAAAGTACCGCCTCCCAACAGATTCGAGGTGAACGACTCGGAGGCAATGCCAGCAGCCTTTGAAAGTCAAACTTCAGCGCATACTCGCAAACCTACAAATGATGGTCACCATCTGATCCAAGACGAACTTGTACGGTGCAGAAACCAGCTCTTCGAGAGTGTCGTGCCATTCGCGGGCCAGACACTTGAAGCCAGCACCAGGGAACCACTCGGGGATCTTGACCACTAAACATGGTGAGGCCATTGGAAGCAAACGTCTGAATTCTATGACTTACAGAATGGTATAACATTAGCCATGAAGGCGCCCGCCACGAAGAAAGGAAACGAAATCAGGGTTAAGGGCATCGAGGTTACGGTCCAGGAAGCCCTCAGCGGAGTAGGCGACAGAGCCGTTGAAGTGATTGACGGTGAACGTGGGGAAACCAGAACGATCTATGACACCGACTTTGAATGACGAGTGGTTGCCCCAGCGCTTGCCAAAGGCTTCCACCATCGAGTGACCAGTCTTCTTATGCGAGCGGCGAGCCTGATCATCCATGATGTGGATAAGACCACCCGGCTTGTTTTGAAGCAGTCGCACGCACTCGGAGTTGTCGAAGTAGGAGACAGTGGGAACAAAATGTGAGATACCTTCGTTCTGATATTCGTCCACGTGAGCCTCAAAGATACATTTCTGGACGAAGTGCTGCAAGCGTTCATTGGCAAAGTTGATGCAGAACTGATCAGGGGAGTTGGGGCGACTGGTCATGTTCTGTGGTCCAGGGAGGTCGAAAAGGCCAATGAATGTGTCAAAGTCTTCACGGCACAGCCGCTGGTTGAGATGCTCGTTCAACCATGCAAAGAGAAGAGAATACAGCGTTTTTGCGAGGTCATCTCGGTTATCAGATGCACCATCAGGGTCAAGGAAGACGGTGCAGAGCTCCTTCTTTACAAGCTTAGTCTTGTAGGACATTACGCCCTCCAAAGCACCCGCTTGGACACCCAAGAATTCGGCAACGATGCCAAGGACATCTGTGTTACGCACGACAGCAGCGTCAACGTCACGACCATGGTCAACGGTAAACTCAAGATTGCCGAGGTGGAAAATGGCAGCGAGAAGTTGGCAAGTCTGAGCGACGTGTCGCTTGGACAAGCCAATTGTCTTGAGAGCGACCTTGAGCTGTTCAAAGCAGTTGGCATCATCATCCTGAACACCGTTTTGGCGTGCTGGGATAGCACTACGCTGACCGAGATAACGGTACTGGGTTTTATCCAAGAGGTGGAGGTGCTGGCGCTCTTCCTGAGTTGCACCTGCCACGAGGTAGTAGAAGATGTGGAAGTTGCGCTCTCCGGATGGCATGGAAGATACGCGGTTGCGCTCGAGGTAATAGTCGAGGGTCTTAACACCGGAGAGGCACCCACGGTCAGTGAACTGCAACTCCGTGTATTTCCCGAAGCGAGAAGCATTTGGGTTGAACAAAGTGCGGGCATTACCAAAGGACTCGATGACAAACTCTGCGGCGGGTAATTGGGTAGCGAGTTTGGAGCCTTTCTTTCCTGGATTGGAGACGGAAAGCTCAAGAATGGTCTTTATGGCGAGTCTGCGGTTCTCTGATTTTCCGCTGCCAGTCTCACCGCTATAATGAAAGCGGTTTTATTTTAGATGATGTAATGCATGTGTTGATGGGGGTCACTTACCCGATCAGAATAGACTGGTCCTGGGCAGTTCGTTTCATGTGGTAGTAGGCATTATTTGCGAGCTGAAAATATGAGGTGCTAATGGAGACTTGTTTTCCGTTGTGTCGCGATAGTCTGAGGCATATTTTTGAAGGACGGAGTCGCCGTTGGAAGACACATACTTGTGGCGGTTCACGGTGACAAGGGAATTGGTACCGATGTTGGTGTAAACTGATTCAGACATGAAACGCTTGCGAAGACATGAGACAATGAGATCCTCTGATATGCAAGACAAGCCAGAGATGTCACTGGCGGCCTCAAGCCTCTGGTGGAGTGACATGCCAGCAGACGGGCGGCTCATGGCGAGCGCGTTGTTAAGCAATTACCCTGCTAGGGAAGGAAGTAAGAAGAATATATGGCAGTCAGCAAGTGTTAACTTCTCTTTAGCTAATTTTTACTTATGCATACACTGGTGACTCCACGAGAACAGCATCTCTGGGGTTCACTCAGGCTAGAGTGTTGACCGCCTGCGGAAACATGAGAACCATCATTTAGATTTAGAGAGATCCTAACCTTGTAAATTAAGTCCTGCGAGCCACTGCCAATGAATAAACTCCATCCCTCGCCTGATTTACGACCATGAGAGAGCGCTTGCAATCCTATGAACCACTTTGGAAGACGAGGAAGATCGCCAGAGGGAGCGTATTGCAGGCCAGCCGCAAGATCCTTTCCAGATAGCGAGATCGACTGTTCCTGCGCTGGGTCCATATGGGAGGCAATATTGAGAGATGACGATTTAGAGGGGAACATGGTATCGTGGGGTTTGCCTGCTAGAAGCGATATCACACCTGGCTTGTTTTCCAATGGAAACAGCCCACGGACTGAAGTAATACTATTAAAACAATGTTCATGACTCATAAGATCGAAAACTCACTAGGACTGGGCTTCCGTTCTCTGGCTGTGTCGGAAAAAAAAAGTGTAGATGTTTGCTGGAAGACCGTACTTGACAACGTGCTCGCACATTAGATAAGCGAACGTTGAACAGGTCCACGTGCCGAAGAGTCGCGCACATTGCTTCCGCAGAATTCAATATCGATTATCACGTGGTATCGTGATGTGTATGGTATGTAAAGGTATATATCACAGAACGGTAGTAGATGTAAAGTGTAAACGTGAAAAGAAGTGGTGGTGGGTTGAATAATATGCTACACGTATCAATGGGAGTATTGTACAAGTGATGGTCATGGATCGTGATGTCCGAGTCAGCTACAGCTAGAATTCGGGCGTTCTTGAGTAGTTAGTCTGATAAAAAAAGTTGACACGCACCCCAAGTGTTGATTTCACTTTGTTTGTGAAACGGATGGCATTATCTTTGATTGCCGTCAGATGGCGCGAGTGCGGCGCGACGACAGTCTGAGGTTGAAATTGATTTGGGTGCTGAGAGTGGGCGATAAATCGGCAGCAGTGAAGTAAAAAATACGAAACGGACTGACAGAATCCATCCATATGTCAACTTGCATCTGATGGAACTTAGCTCTATACTTGCGCTGACCACAAACGATACTCACTAGAACTTTCCTGTTTTTAACAGGTAACGGTCCCATCGATGAGGTGTGTACCGTACGAGACATCTAATCACAATTACGTTAGCGCCGATAGCGTAATTGAAAGGGGCTCACCTTCAAAATCGCCCAAAGTAGTTTGGTGGGAGCGCGGAATGATCGATAAACCTAAATTTAGATACATAAGTCGTCGAACCAAATACTGATAAACATCATCAACTCTAAATTATTGGAATCCCGCGTACACGCACCTGGTCTGGTCTGAGGTCTCAACTCAGAAGTTCGTTATTCGACTCTGCATTGTTAGCTTAGATGATTACTGTGCTTGAAGCTTGAGTGCCGAGTCTTGAGTCTCATAACAAACCCTGTGTTGCAAGGTTTGCGGCAGTACCTTAACGTTCATAGTCATTTATCAACACACACCTCATCCTTCAAGTTAACGATCATCTGGCAGTATATCTTCATTTCAAATGATAATACAAAATATAGCGTGAGATGTATACTCGGTCAAAGTACCTCATCGAAGCATGAATCATGCGCCTGCAGATTAGCCCTTTGCGAACGTATAGACGTGAATTCGGCATTTGGAAGGGTAGTGAGATTGTGCACCATTTCGGTGATAAGCTCAAGATCTTCATATACCGGGGGTGCCTCATTTGCGCGAGTTCTTGGCTGTAGGGTCTTGGGATCAATCGGAAAGACGTTCACATCGCTGGATGTGGATATGTATGAGCCCGAGATCAAGAATTAAGCGAACAAACACTGACCGTAAGAAAGGCAACTTGCTCAGCGCCTCCTTGAACCCAGGAAAGAGGTCCGGGTTGGCATACATCCTGGTTAGACTGGCCATGAAGATTTCATACATGAGATCCAGTCTACGACCCTGCGTCTTCGGCGAGCGCCAGATATGAAATGTGTGGTATATCTGATTCGGCAATGCATTCATGACTGGCATAAGCAACGAGAAAGAACACGTACAATGGTCACTAGAGTCCCCACTACGCCTTGAGTAAGACCATCGCGGTCTCGTACTTCCTCAGGAAAGAGATCCGCGATTCTCCCATTCTCATTCCTTTTCTCGGCCAAGCCGATTATAGGTCGCATCAGCGATACCCATACCAGTTCTGCAAACATATGGAGTTTTATCAGTTCTGCTATGCCTCGTTGCACCTAAGTCAGAGTAAGCCATCAAATCAGATCATATCGGTTTGCAGCTTCTCACAAGTTCCCGATTGCCTGAGTCAAGCAGCGCAAAAAAGTAATCGACTCTTGCTTTTTTGGCTGCATTCTCACTTCCTGAAAATCCAGTTGGCGTGTGAATGCACCCCCGGACGACTTTGCGCATTTCCGATGTCCTGTTCACAATGTGATTCGAGAACTGTTCATGATGATCCTTGAGAGTGAGAAAAGGTAAAAGTGGAGCATGCGTACAGTGAGGCGAAGGGTGTCCCATCCAATAGATGTCGTTTCCATGTCATCCGTCACCACTGTCACTGATCATGCTGTTAGATAGTGAATCATACATTCAAATGAAGGTGCTTACACAGTTGGTTGTGTAATTCATCCACCGATGTTCCACTGAGAGTTATCGCCGTTAAAAAGCAGCTGGTAATGAGCCGTCTGTATTGTTGTTCAGGAAGGTTCCAAGGGTTGTACAATCCGACCCAAAGGCTGCCAAGGTAGAGACACTTCGTTAAAAATATCGGGCGGTTCCAAGCAGAGTTTTTCAGCGCATCAGTGATGGCTGCTCGAAAGTCGGAATGGAGCGGTGCATCCACACCTTTCCAGGTGAGCCGTTCATGGAGCACAATCGTTGGAGGGATGTGGGGGCGGTCGAGGTACCCGACAGACATATCAGACACCATTTGAAGATCGTCAAGCATCGAATTGTCTGTGTACCCTTCAGACCCGGTGACAGTTGGGAAATCATGATCAAAATCGGCGGACCAACTTTGCCCGTTTGATGAAGGGTCAGGTGGAAAAAAAACAGATCCACGCTCATCATCAGCAGGAGGTAGAGAGATTGTATGTTGGAAAGGCGGCGCCTCGATTTGATATGGAACAGGTGCAGCCTCAATGACAGTGGGAGTGGCAGGAGGCGGAAATTGATATACAAGAGGCCCAGCCTCGATGGCAACGCGAGGGGTATGACACATGAAACCATGCAAAGGCGCAGCCCCACTGGCGGCGAAAGAACCACAAGGCGAGAATCCGTCTGGGAATGGCGCCGCATGGAGGCGGATGGAATCATCCAACATGCTAAGCTATGGACGGGCAAAATCATTCCTCAGCAACACTGTGCACCGAAAGTAATGCTCACTGGGCCACACAACACTGATAAACCCTAGTACATTCGGGCGACAAAGTTCGCTGTCGATCAACCGCAGAAAATTGCCGTCACCGGTCTATGTTCATTCTGTCAATGACTGAACTCCATGAAGTTCAAGATCTCACCATCTTCTTTTCATACACTTCAGAGAACATTACTCTATCGTGGCTTGGAACGGCCAGTATGCCTACTATATCCAGAATACTGTGTTCTGAGTTCGTCGATGCATGCTCGGCGCGCTGCAAACCAATACAATGAGATAAAATAGATGACTGTGAACAAAACTCACGTAGAGGGGCGAGAGCTCCCGATTGGCGTTCGCAAGATATCCTATGAGACGAAAGTGCTCAGTGAATCCTACGAATGGATGCTACAATGACAAGTTAGAGAGAACAATGATTAATAGCCGATGCCGAACCGGATCACTCTGGACGACGAGCTTCAGCGATTGAGATATATGGTGTAGGGTATAATACATACCGGTAGCTGGAGAATCCTCAGGACTTTGTTCTTGTCCGGAAAGTACAGGTAAGTGGGAGAAGAATGGGCTATTTTCGGTCAACATCTGGTAAGTTTAAGATCGTTTATATCGCGTCTAAACCTCACCTTGCATCATCTTATATTTGAGAAATAGAGAGGGGAAGTAACTTGAAGAGGCGGAGAGAACGAGGAGACAAGTCGATACTAAATAGCGAAGCGCTAATTTTTAGTAATGGCCAGAATAGCGACGGCCAACTTGAAAGTTTGGTGATGGGCAGAATTTGGCGATGGCCAGAGTTTGGTGATGGCCAGAGATTGGCAACCATGATAGCCATAGATTGGGGATGCCCAGAGATTAGCGATCACGATTACCAGTGGCCATGGCCAGAACTAAAGACACGCCAGGTGGTGATGGCCAGCCGGAAATGATTGACTTGTCTGGCAAGAAAAGCCGCAATAATGGTTCGTTGTGCACAAATAATTAGTAAGAATTATCAATGAAAACATGCCCGTCAGGGACTGTGTAGTAACCGCCACCAGACAGGGATTACGTGCGTTTAGCGCCAGCAGCCGGGGAATTGGATGTAATACTAATTTTCGTAATCGAACACATGTCTCGTAAACATGTCGTCTAGTGCGTCGATGAGGGACTCTGTGCTTCCATTGCGTTCCTGGTCGAAGAAACCCGGCTCCTCGACGCCAACGTGATCGTCCTCTTCATCTTCATCTTCGTTGTCGGAAGGAGATTTCCAGGTGGTGGTTTCTTCCCTTTCCGAACTCATGTCGTCTGGCTGCCGTGTCATATGTAAAGTAGAGTGAATTGCCTGTTGGGTCAAGGAAGAACATTCCATCTTCGCATCATGAGAATACACGTGCCCTACTCCAAGGCCGTAATGGAAGCGCATGAGGGCATCGCGGTCCACGAAGCTTATTACATTTGTATTAGGGATAGATGTAACCAGAATAAGCATAGACACTCACCTGTTGACGTAGTATTCGCGCCAATCTTGATGATCTCCCGCGATGCGAGAAATCCCGCACTCGCTGGGGTTGCGCTGACCCCGGGAGAAAGCGGGTATGATGTGACATGCCCTAAGCACCATGGCTGGGTCTACAAAGCCAAATGCGTCCGAACTCTCCAGAGGGATGAAGCGAACACGGCCTAAATTATGTGTGCTCCAGGTGTGACTCTGAACCGATTCATACCATCGAACAAAAAGAAACTCAAACCGGCGGGATTCGTATACGTTCCCTACACGAATAACATTAACATGGTGGATTCCAAGGACCTTAGCATAACGATAGTTGCTGTCATCAGCATCATCGTCACGATGCTTGAGGAGCATGATGTTGCAGTGAGGCGTCCTCGGATTTACGACGTCTTGAGCCCTGCGGACATCATACGTCGTGTAATTAAATCTCGCAAGGTGGTGGTGGTAGATTCGGTTCCTTTTGAATAGAATTGAATCACGTTCTTGGGTGAGATTAGCTGATTGCCTCTCTGGCTCGAGACGATCCAAAAGGTGGTCTTTCAAGCGAGGTAGGAAGTCCTGAATCAAATATCAGAATGATAATGATGAAGTAAAACGCATATTACTTTCATAACGGGATCCTTCGCGTGGCTGCGGAGGTAGTAACCGAATTCGTCGTAGACTTTCTCGCTTTGGCCGATGTGATGGTGTACATGGGGATCGTTCATCGTCCCATCCACCTCTACACGAGAGGTTTGCAGTTGGTGCCGTTGCTTGATGCGGCGTAAACGTGTTTGGCGACGCTCGATCTGAGTCAGCTGGCGCACAAAAGCCCTTCGGTCAGTGCGACGGTATCGGCCTTTTGACGTACGATGCTCCAATTCTCCCTAATGGAAATTGAATTAAGGTGGGAACGGCAGCTGACTACAACTCACTGGTTCAGTGCTGTAGGAATCTGTTGTTCCCAGGCGATGTATGGAGGCCACGTAGTCCCCAAGTGCGTGAAATTTGTAGGTTTGAAGGTTAAACGACTTCTTTCTCCGTGGCAGCTTTGGTAAAGGTGCGCCCTGCGACTGTTCCTGGCTCACATGTTGCTTGCCTTGAGCATTGGCACCGGTCCTGGGCTTTCGAGCTGCAGTCCCTCGAACAATATCATTCGTCTTGCCTTTCTCTCCCCGTTTAGCTGCTTCTCTTGTCTGACGGCGAGACCGCGCATCAACTTCGCGATCGAGCTCTTGTGTTTGGTAAGCAGCGCATACTTTATTCTTGAACCGACGAAGTTGTTCGCCAAGATCAGTGGTTTGTTGATCGAGTATCTGTAATGTTAGATCAGAATGCATACGAAGTTTTGCTAGTCCGTGCCAGTGTGCCATTATGAACAGCAGATCCAAAACAATTTTGTTGTGCTCGTCTGGGAGAAGGCCATCAAAGACCGGGATGGAACACTTAGACAAAATCAGTCCACGTAGCCCTACATGACTGTTCTGAAGACATACTTGAAGAAGATCTTCAAAATTGCGTGCAGCCATGTTCGACATTTCTGAAGTATTAGCGGAAAAACGCCTAATGGTCGCTCGTCCGAATGGGGGGACTTGCCTGAACCTGTCAAAGTTAACGAGTTGTTAGCCCGCCGAGTCGTTGTCATCATAAATACTTGGCGGACCTCCTATCAAGCTCATGAATTCGGTCCTTGTTCAGGGCACAAAGAATTCTCAACAAGTGAACTAAAAGCATGCGCCAAACCCCAAGCTCGACCTCGTGCAGAAGGTCGACAACAAGCGCAATGAACACGTTGAATCCTAAGGGACCGAGGCAGTCGGAAAACGCGTTCTAATCAAGAGTTGGTCAAGCGAGAAATAAGCTAATGATCGTACTCACAGGGGTCGGTACCCAAGAATCGGGCTTGAGATGTGACTCGACTGCTGCACTGTCAACACCATAATTCTTCTGGTAGATTAAGCCGCGCGCTGTCGAGACAAGCTGATTCCTCGAGGCATCGGAGCGTGCGAGAGTCGTGCGCTGTTGCCTATCACGACTCATCCCTAGATTGTGGAGTCGTCCCATCGGCACTAGACATCGTGGGCAAGGACAGCCCCCCATCTGCCGAATGGTCGCGACGAGAACTCTGGCTTTTGTTAGTTGCGATATCTCCCAGATAATGATCAACAACTAACTTCTCGGGATAGTCAGCGGAATAGGTGAAAATTCGCGGATAAAATCTCCGTTTGACTCCATCACAGCAGTTGATCACGATCCCGTGTTTATATGCCTCCAAAAACTCAGGATCAAGTAAAATCCTCCACTGAGTTTGGAACAATTCACGGTGGCAGTGAGTTGCACATTCGCGACCAACTCCCTTGCCTTGAGTGTGAGCACCCGCGAAATCTTTAAATGAGTCGGGAAGCTGCCAGACGTCAACTGTGGTGTAGAGGATAATTGAATGGCCATCATACCTTTTGAAAATACGCGACATGATTTGCCAGATTGCAAGATGGTTGACACCGGCGGTATTTCGATTCGTTCCCAAAATACATGTATACTGGCCATAGCTTTGTGTTGCCGAATGTCGTAAGGTGTGTGGCGTCCGACCAGAACATGAGCGCGACGACAGCGCGGGGTAAATTGCATTCCGGCTCTCCAGGAGACTGCTGAAGTTCGCGGTGCGCATCCATGAAGGCCGGGGACGTGTATAATTCTCCTTGAATATTGACTTCGTGTTGAAGATGGGGGGCGCTCCATCGCAGCTGGTAAGGCTCGTAGTGGAAGAGTTCATCGTCCTGAACATTTGACAGCTTTTCGCGAATAACGGAAATCAGAGGTCGATGATAAAGATCTGCAGCGACATAAGGCCGAGCGCCCGGCTGAGCTGTAGTGCGAGAAAATGGAACTTCGATAGTCACTTGCGTTTTACGCCAACCCACATCTTCATCTTCCCATTCCTCCCCTTCTTCGTCATTGGCACTCGCGCCTAATTGCGAGTTAATCTTATCCCAGTGCGTATTTCGCACATCGTCAGGATCAAAATCCGGGCATCCGACTATGTCAATCAGCTCCTTAAAGCTCTGATGGGATTTTTGTACACCGCCATTCCAGTACCAATGGCCGAGCTCAAATGAGGATTTGTTAGGGTATGGATATAGCGAGATATCACGAGGCTCGGGGGGAACAGGCAGTTCTGCTGGAGTGCTAGCCAGAATAAAACTGATGTCTCGCAGAGTTACGACCTCTTCTGGGTCATGAGACGGGGGAGTCGATGAAAAGAATTGGCGTACAAGGCCAAAGACATTCCTCGCTGTGCGGAAAGGAGGGGCTGGCAGTGGTGTACGAGTCTCGGTGAATGCATCGATAGGATTTTCAGGTAGGTTTGGCTGTGGTTGTTGGTCAGGAAGTCTGAAAGGAACGCTCGGAGGAGGCTGCGGAAGCACGTCGTCATACTGCCTATAGCGCAGCGGCATAGGAACACCGGTACGTCGGCTCCTTCGCTGCGCTAGCGATAATCCCTCGTCTATTTGCGTAGACGGATTAGCGGAAGTAGGTGCACTGTGCGATGAAGAATCACACAACGCTTCCTGGCCGGGGTGCATCGCTGGCGGAGTTGAGCAAATAATAGAAGTCTCTGCCGTCAACGTCTCATTGGCCTGGTCATTGGACGACGACGGTACTGGCGGGCGGTCTAATAGTGTACTTGAAGTGTACCTGCCACTGTTATCTACCTGGGACCGTTTTACAGAGCCGAGGAGTTCTTTTGCTTTAGATAAAGCGGAGAATAACCTTTTCTTGCCTTTCAAGCACGAGTGCTGATGCTTGGTGTAGGCGCTCTCCTGTGTAAATTCCCGAGTACAAGTACATCGGAAAGGGGTCGGACCTGATGATGAATCCATGAGAAGCTGAAAGAATGGGAATGTTGATGATGGCCTAATAGTAGAATATCAATGAAAAAACTCGGCAATACTCGCAACACAACGGACCATCAAGTTGGCGCCAGCGTTGGCCAATGGCGCCAAACAAAGTCGGCATTAAATTCCCACAGGCCAAAAACCTCTGGCGGCAGGTTATGGGTCCTTGGCGCAAATTATGACGGCACATCAGCCACCATGATTTAGCTAAAAGCCGCTGTTTCGTTAGAGCAGCAGACCATACAGGTCCTTCTGTACATTCCACGCAATGGAACCACCATCTTCACCTTCCTCTATCATCACCGCCCCACCTGACTGTAGTGAAACGGCTCGTAAGTTAGCGAAACTGATTGTGGAAGCCAAGACTTGCCGCCTCGCCCTGCTACACTATGACAGTGCCTCAGAATCGATGGTTGAATGGTGTTGGTAAGCTTCAACCCTGTTCGAATCCTAAGCAATGACACTTCAACAAACAAAAAATGTAGGCCTGCCGATTGTGAGGGAAGGAAGGTTCCGCCATCCAACCTAGAGAAGCACCACAAAGAATTCGATTTTCGATTTCCATGCTGCGTATGCGCTGATGGCGGTGGGAGAGGTGCATACGTAGAGGTGGCAGTGTACCCTTGGTGGAATAATACCACAAACAGCAATTTTTGGACTGCGAGATGTGCCTCTAATAAATGCGGATACGAAGGTCAGTGTTATTCAACGTTCTTCATGCTCAAGGAATCTTACTTGATCATCGCCTAGTAAAAATGGACATGTACTGCCAGCTGGCGCCTTTAGCTGCCTTCCCGTACCCACGACGAGGTATGAACTTGTTGCTGCCAAAATACAATTTCATTGATAAGCGATGAAGAACAGCGAGTCTCTCCTGTTCGACTAGAGTGGACCTACAGAGAGCAGACGGAGTTGTTCAATGCACTCGACTCATGCGTTGGCAACGGGATTGGTGAAAAAGAGTTTCGTGTTCTATTTAAACGCTGCAGAAAATGCATGCGAGTCGGAACAAGGCCGGTGATGAAGCGCCATGTTTGTTCTGGAGGTGTGCAAAAGCGACAAAGACGATCGCTGTAGTTACATGCGGTAACACGGGCTAAAGTCAGAATTGGTTTAAAACATGCATTAGACGACTCGCTTTATTTGTTATCTCCCAGGATACGGTATGAGCTCTCTCAAAGAAGGGACGAAAGACTCAATGAAGGAACGTCTTGATACCACGCCGGTGTAGAAACAACAATACTGAGAGGAACAAAGAAATGCTCCTGACTGTATCTAAAAAGTTGTAGGTCGTGCGTTGCCTAGTCTGCGATACTTGAGATGGCAAGTGCATTCGACCCTAAAGGGGAAGCAGGTGCAGCGGAGATCTAGAGGTACGCGCTTCAGCGAAGCGCGAGAAAGCGCAGGTGCGCGCAAGGTACAAAGGCGCGGGAACGCGCGCGCGTATTAGCGCGAAGCGCGGGAAAGCGCGCGCGTGTAAGCGGAAATAAGAGAGACTAAACTTATGTGAAGATATAAGCAAGATAAGGATGTGAGATGTGTTGTGCTAATGAATAGATTTCTACTGCGACTTTCTAAGTAGTAAGTACTAGGTAAAGTTGGGTGAAAAGTAAGGTAAATAATAGTATGTACTGCTGGCGCTTATATAGCGCGCCTAAGCGCACTCATGCGGAGCCGAAGCGCTACCGAGTAGGTATGTAAAAATATATATGAGTGAGAAACTATGATAAAAATAAAGGTGGAACTATGCTAATAAAGGAAATGGAAATATACGTACTAGGGAGCTTGGTGGACAGTGGATGGATGCATCTGGATGGCTGGCGCTATAGGGCGCGCAAGCGCGGGAACGCGCGCGCGCGTATACATCGTGAAGCACGGGAATGGTGCGCGCATGGCGCGCATTGCGTGGGAAAGCTGCGCGTCATATAGGAATCACTGTGGATGGTACACAGAGTGATGCTGCGAGTTGGTGCTGTATACTCCCTAGTGTAAAGCGCCATATCACACTATGAGATGCACGAGTCTCTACACCGGGCCCGAGCGTCATCCATAAAAGTATTGCCTCCATTGGGGTTACAACAGGATACGCGAAGAAGACTAGAGAATGTTCCTTGAGATACTAAATCAGCGTGACAGCGGTTTGCAATTACAGCGGTTGAATGTTATGGTTGAGCAGCCACGTGACTTAGCTGACCGTGACTATTCTTCGTGATCTCTGCCTGACGCCTGTAAACGCTGAAGTTTGGCTGAATCGTCTCTCCTGCTCAAAACGTTAGTTTTCACCTATGTACAGTCATTGCCATGCTGACCATCCAAAGGAACACATTGTCGTGATGGCACGGTGTTTCTGGAGAGATACAAATTCAGATCCCCTAGATTCAAGTGGCCCCTGGAAACTATCAGCATCCGCTGGTATCGATTAGCTGAATAACGAGGAGGAGAAGTAAAAAAAAAAGTAAGAGCTGAAATCAGCGTAGGATCGATGCTAATCTGGGTCCCTTGCTTGAGGTGCTGTCATTCCAGCTTCGTCTGTGCAAAATGATGCCGTTCGTTAACACGATCTCATGGTAGTTAAGTTGAACTGAGCATAGCCCAGGATTCAACGAGCGTAGCTCAGGGTGGGATGCGAGCAGCTGGTGGGCGAGACAGCTGATCACGAATTCGATCGTGTTAGACTTAAACGGAAAAAAGGTGTAGCACTCGCTATAGCTTTTAATCATATATTTAATTGCGCTATGACGTGTGCGCGTACATGATGGCGAAAACAGCTAAGGGAAAGTGGTGGGTGCAAAAGAAAAGGTATCTGGAGCGAGTTCGTCGTCGAAGGCAATATGGAAGGTGTTGCTCAACGTGGTGCCGGAAATTTCCGTGGTGGTATGTAAGCAAGAACTTAGCTATACGCATCATTAATGCTGAATGCAATTCTTTTCTGCTTAGTAATGGAGTCTCTTCGCTCTTGCCAATGTCAAGGGCGGGCTGAGGAACTCCCCGCATAGCCTCTAGTTGAATTATTTCTCATGTAACCTCTCCACTATTGTTTCGCGCAACAGTTATCCTCAGGACTCCCGGTTCCCCTGGTTGATATCTCGGTTCTTTCAGTGAGTTCTCGACCCAACCTGTGCCCGCCTCCGTTCTCTCAGCTCTATTTGAACACGATTCCCATGCCTTTCTACCAGAATACCTCAGTGACGGCATTTGGAGGATATTTTGATCTAGGTACCAGTTTTATTTTTTTATGTTGAAGCTGCGCGGTAAATTGAGATTTATGACATACAAGGCACACGTCTGAGTGTTGTACAGAGGGTGTCAAGTGCACCCACATTTACATCATCTATGGCTTCATATGAGCGAGTCTTCGTTAGTTGGCGCTGTCAGTGATATTATGGGTGAGTGCTATTTTTCCCATGCTTGTCTGATATGGTATTTCACATCTAATCTAACAGCAAAATGATGCGCTCTAAGCCCACCAGGACCAGATATAGACACAAGCTTAATGTCCACATGGAACGCCTTTCTAGAGAATAAACACCTTGTCAAGCACACGGCACAGGCTCATTGATGCAAGGGTACTGTCCACAACTGCGACTCCATCAGGTATGTGTGCTAGCTTCGCTCAATTAAAGACTATTCTCATCAAGCTCAGCGGTCACAGCCTCCTGTGTCTGACGCTGCTGCTGCCTCAGGTACAAGCAGAACAACATGTCCCTAGCTCTACACGCAAGGAATACAAAATTCAGGCGAGTAAAACTTCCCGGTGGCGCATGGCTCTAACCATTGCTCTCAAAATCCCTGGACTCTCGCAGTGACCTTTTTACTTTCGTGTAGTCTGCTACATGGTCTTAGTAAGTCTGCATCGCAACAACGCTTCTGACAAATACACATCCTCCATCATCGAACCCTACGCTAGGAACTCAGATCACATTTTGATGGCCAGTCAACTTTCAATCATCCCTTATGGATCTCTATACTAGGAAACTCGTGCGTCATATCACCCTTTGATGGCCAGCCAACGCTCAATCATCCTTCTAGTGGTTCCTATAGTAGGAAAGTCTTTTGTATGCAATCTATACATCACGTTTTGATGGCCATTGAAGTTTCTCACTGGTTCAGTCGCCGCTACAAATAGACGCCGTCTCCACACGTAATATTATAATGTAAACACAAAATACAGTCGTTCACATATCCCTGATGTCAATCTGTGTTTCACCTTCGCAGCTGTTCGACGATGCAGCTTCTCGTATAAACATCATCCGAATCTCGAACTCACTAGGCATTGAATTGCTCGATGCCTACATAGGACTTGTAGCCATTGACAAGGCCTGTACATGAATTCATGTCTGTTGGCACATCCTAAAGTCTTTCAATACAGCTTCAGACAGAATTACAGGTCCTATCATTTTTATGCAAAAACCGAGTTTATCCTGGGGATCTTTGGGAAATTGTCGGGGAGCGCATAATAGAAGCGAAACAGGAGTCAATATTGCGACAACACCAGATCATTTGCGCTGATAATGGATTCACAAACACAAGACACATCGTTGTAGAGCATCTTCTAATGGAGGAGAGGAGGAAACGGGGACAAATGGAGGTGTCTTTGTATAGCCAGGCCCTTGAATACTTGCAGCAGCACTGCATGCGTGAGCTTCTTCAACCTTGGTGCATGAATCAGTAGTCTAAACACCATAAAACAGTCAAACATTCTGCGTATCCGGTGAAGCGGGACGTCCGATCTTCAGCAACCTCAAGTCATCCTGTGGACCGCAGAAACTTGAGCTGTTCAACGGCTACGCAAGAGAAATGCGAAGCATGGTTAAAGAGACGATACACCTACCCCCTCCAGGATGCTGAACCTTTGATGGGAAATTGCTCTTTTATGGGCGGAATTGCCTGTTCAGTACCTGGATTCTCTTCAGCACCTGGATTCGCTACTATGCACGAAGCCAAACACAAATCCGACATCTCGAATGTCAGTAGTTTCAATGATATTCTCACCTGCTCTCACTCTCACTCTCTGAAGTGCATCGGACCTTTATTGCCCCTGGTGAACTCGTTGGTCACCGTTGACGTTCAACAAGCGTTCTACGATGCACTATGCACAGAACAAGCTTGTCAGGCAGGGCTGGTGGCACGTCCTCTCACTGTTAATCTGTATCAACGCAACATCGAGTTAGAGATGCTCATCTTGCGGGCCAAGATGCGCCGCGCCAAAGCTGAGATAGAGCTCTATACAGTGGCCATTCAAAATGCTCGCGAATTGGACTTCTCTGACAACACTAGTGAGCCCCTTGCCCATGTTTTCTGCACTTGCTGATGGCCCTCCCACACACACACATACAGGTGTCTCGTCTTCCGCCAGTGAATTTATACCGCCCCCTCGACCAGATGAATTGTGTTTTTATGACGAGGACCGTGATGATGTGACGGACGACTTTGATGACTTTGAATTTTGAGTACAGTAATTTCGTTCTTCATCTATATTTATTAAATCATCATATAAACCATTGCTGTGGTTTGTACTATGTGTACTACCATTCTATGAAGCCTCTAGTCAGAAGCGGCGACTGACATACTACGCGAGCGCGGGTTTTTTTATAGCTTTTGGTAAATCTGTCCCTAGAACGTTATACCCATGAAAGCAATACCAATTCTTTTTGTTTGTTGTTTGCGCATCTCATCCTGGATCTACCTGCTACTCCTATTTCTCGCAAGGCATGGTCACACTGCATTTACCAGCCGGGCATGACAAAAAATGCTCTTTGATCTCCCTTCGTCCTCGAACAACAAAACATGTGTCATCCGACCTGTTTACTTTTTCTCCTCCAATGATCACTCGTCAGATTGAGGTTTTTTCGACAACAAGAGCCATAGACCGCCTCATGGCCCCCATTGAAAGATCATTCTGTCCTCTATCATGATGTATACAAGGAGCTTGCGCATATCTCTGAGGGTGAAAGCAGTGATAGACCAGGGCCATCAACTGGGCCGTTACTAATTGCGGTGGTATGTTTTCTTCCGCAACCTACTAGCTTTTTGGCTGATTCAGGATTATCCTCACTGAGACGGTGCACAACCCCCTTGTATCTAATACCTGTACTAGTCGGCGATCCGTCACCATCATGCCGCAGACTAAGGTGTTAAGGTCATCACACCCGACATCAGTTGACAAGGTGTAAATCCTCATAGAATCGGATTCGAGGTCGAACTTGAAGAACTTAGCACGAGTGCGGCACTGGACATTATATGTGCCGAAACCGGGGCTGAATATTGATGCGAACTGTACAGGTCTGTCTGAGAAGTTTGAGTTCTACACATTGACTACTCATCATCTTACTTTTCTCCGGGCCCCGCACTCTCTGATTACTCAACTTCGCCTTCGTCTTCGCCTGAGCAAGACAGTCAGCTTGTTACTCGACGGAGATCACGTCAGACATACTTTGAACGGGAGAGGGAGCGTCCCATGGGATCTGATGTGGAGAGCAGGTATCGATTCCATGTGGTGCGTATTTTTCCAGTACCTTTGTCCGATACATCTCTTCTAACCAACGAAGCCTGTATGTTCGGTACATTTCTCCAAGCCTTTCGCAGCCTACTTCTGCAAGTTTCAATCGTTCTTTAAGCCTGGCAACGGACTCTACCTCCCCTGTTTCATTGTTCTCTACTAGCTCAAGGGGAGCCTTGATGTGCCCTGCTAAGGAATCGCTATCACCAACATCCACCTCGCTATTTTATGATGAGCTTTTGGGATGAACAACGAGTCCGTTGACCAACTTTAAAACATCATGACTTGTGAGTTCTTCGCTGTTTTGATTCGCGTTGCACAATAACTCGATTCTAAGGGCAGGCGTTCCAGTCAGCACCACGAGGTAAGTCACCAGCATTTAGATTTACCTTAAATTCAAGTTAACGCTACTAGAATGTCCTTGCAATTTGAACGTCTGACCCACCCACTGTGACATATGGGCAGACTTATTCTGTTGTGCGTGTTTTGTTTCTGAATACTCCGTCCTTTACATATAGTGAAATTCAAATAGGCGGAACGCATGGGCCGGTCATCCATGCCATCAGCGGATACCCTGACCTATTTTTGGCCGCCATTCGCCAAGAGACTTGGCCGCCATGCAACCTTCAACATGGCCACTCCGCCAACAACCTTTCCTTTTATATCACATAGGCTCACGATAAAAGCTTCGTTCCGTCTGCGAAGTTTAGATCACGCTTTTCTTTCTCTTCAGTCCTCATGACTACCGAGGACATCGCTTCCGGAATTCCAAGCAAACTGCGGCTCGTCTGCCCTCCAAATGGGCCCCCGAAAAAAAGTGTTAGCTACTCCATGTTGTCACAGATTTTTGTCGACTCATCTTGTCACTCAGCTCCTTGTCGGATCCGCTTGTCTCCCACGGACGACATTTTGGCCGAACGGTGTTTGCGCTATGCAACTACCCTTCCCTACTCACCAATGGCATCTTAAGACTAGAACAGATGGAAAATGCAGCACTAGAGGACTTTTCCGCTGAGTAAAGAATTATTTTTCTTTTTGCTCGCTAATTGACACATTTGGCAGAGAGCGGCGAGAACATCGTGTCTTCGAACAGCTCTTGGATTCTTATCCCGGCCTTTTGGAACGATTGACAAACGGGTCTGAGGAGGAAATCCTTCATATTGGAGAGCTAGTACATCATTCCCACCATGATCAGAGTTCTTGCTAATGATTTTCAGATAGGTAAGGGAGCCGCAGGCGCAAGAGGCGACGACACGAAAACGTTGAAGTCTGCAATATTAGATTGGATTGCTCCGAAAGGAGAGGCGATTCAACCTCCTCTGCACAGAAATTCGAAGATCGATCGCGGGTTCAATCACGAACTTACAGGCTCCCTGCTCTGTCCTGCTGGATTAGACTGGAACGATCCACAGTAAGTTTTGGTTTGCTCATCTGTAGTCCTGACAAGTTGATGTTATTTTATCATTTCTTTGTACACAGGACCAAAGAAAACCTCCGAAGCGGTGAACTGTTGGTCTGCGGAGATCAATGGCCCGTTTTTTTGTATGCACATCATATCTACGATGCCGAAGATCCGTGGTGCGGTCTCCTTCGGAGTCGCTTGCTTATATGCGTATGTCTCATGTCTCTCTTTACTTAATTCATTTATATCATTACATTACGCTAGGCTTACAAACACATCTTCACGTCTCCGAGTTCGGTTGATAGGGAACCGAAAGCTACGCGATCCGGAAACGCTCGTCTTCATGGCATGAACTCTGCCACCATCGCATCCATTGCTTACGTTGCAACCCAGGTTCGTCGAGAACTATGCTTTTTTGTATGTAGCTTATTTTGACATTGATTGTAGGTCCGATTCGCTCTAACCTCATCTTCAGTGTTCTCAAGGACCGACACGACCACAGACTCGGAAACATTTTATCATAGCCTCCTCGACCTCTTAGAAGACCCCGACGAGTCAAAAGAAGTTGACGAACTTTTGATATGGTGGAATTGGTATGGTACTCGTTTTTCATCATGTCGCCGAGGCTCATACATTGTCTCGTACCCAGTCAAGTCTTTCCCACTTCTTCCGCTGCCAAGCGTAACATCACCGCCAACAGCGCGTTATCGAAGATCCGACAAAAATGTCTAGCATTGAAACAAACTTCAAATCTGAACGTGGTTTCTACATAGCCTTTGTTCGAGTATACCTTTTGTAGTAGATACAATTGCATCCTACTTAATATCAGCTTGGTTTTTCTTTTGATTTGGATTGACGCTGAAGTGATAAGCCATGACCGTGACAATGGACATTCTGATGTAAAAATAATTTGATTGCTATGGTATGGCAATGTGTTACCCTATACCGTAAGTTAGTCTATGCAAGCAGGTCCTACAAGGCAAGACCTGCAGTCAACATTCCGCCCCACAATTAAATTATTAAACTAACAAGGTAGCGGAAGGCACCGCGTTGTCGTCGTTCTGTGACCGTGGACTTAATGTAGCCTGTTGCAAAGGCAGTCTGACATTCAACACTTTGGCTGACTCCAGCATCGAGAGAGAGTCTGCGGAAGATGAAATCACTCGCTAACTATACACGCGGTGACCATATGTTGTCGAGATTGGACAGGATGGCAGCATGTTGGCGCTCGTCGCTCACACTGCGTACCTAGTCACGGCTCGGGAAACACAAGCAAGCATCACAATCGCATAACTAATTTCAGCATCAATTAAGTTCTTGTAGACTCGGGCAACACAGACTAGCGTCATAGCCGCATACCTAATATCAGTGTCAATGAGGCTCTTGTAGACTCGAGCAACGTAAGCCAGCGTCGTAACCGCATATCTAATGGCGGTATTGATGGGGTTCTTGTAAATCCTGGGCAACACAAGCTAGTGTCGTAACTGCATATCTACTGTCAGCGTCAATAGAGTGCTTGTCGAAGCTGCAATGGCAAGCTTAGCTTGCATGAGTTAATCACACCAATACAACTTGATACAGTGCTGTGAACGCTGGGCACCCTTGGGCTGTAGGTGGTGTTGATCCAACAAAGTCCGGCCATATAAATTTTTATCGAATGTTGGAATTTGTTCAGAGATTGTGAAGAGCGTAAAAACAGTCAAAGGTTACATACGATTATCACAGCAGGGCAGAATTGTAATGTTCGGACACTTGCCATCAACTTGGCGACATTGGTCAACTAAATCATCCTTTCCCATGGCTGGCAGGTGTTGCAATTCTACACCATTTTGGTGACAGCTGACAACTAGACTGTCATGGTTGTGGATTTGGCGGGTTTCATCCAAGTAAGTCCGGTGTAGAAACAACAATACAATGAGGAACAAGGATGCTCCTAACTGTATCTATAAAATGTTGTGAGGTCGCGCGTTACCTAGTCTGCTATTCTTGAGGAGACAAGTGCGTTCGACCCTAGGGGAAGCGAGTGCTGCGAAGATCTAGAGGTACGCGCTTCAGCGAAGCGTGAGAAAGCGCAAGTGCGCGCAAGGTACGAAGGCGCGGGAACGCGCGCGCGTATTAGCGCGAAGCGCGGGAAAGCGCGCGCGCGTAAGCGGAAATAAAAGAGACTAAGCTTAAGTGATGATATAAAGCAATATAAGAAAAGATAGATGCAAAGTGTAGACCAATAGACTTCTACTATGTACTGCTAAGTAAATAGTGGGTGATAACTAGTAAGTTCAAGGGAAAAGTAAGGTGTGAAAGGTAAATCAGTAATAGTATGTACTGCTGGCGCTTATATAGCGCACCTAAGCGCGGTCATGCGGAGCCGAAGCGCTACCGAGTAGGTATGTAAAGATATATATAAGTGAGAATTCATGATAAAAATAAAGGTGGAATGATATGCTAATAAAAGAAATGGAAATATACGCACTAGAGGGCTTGGTGGACAGTGGATGGATGCTTCTGGATGGCTGGCGCTATAGGGCGCGCAAGCGCGGGAACGCGCGCGCGCGTATACATCGCGAAGCGCAGGAATGGTGCGCGCATGGCGCGCATTGCGCGGGAAAGCTGCGCCTCATATAGGAATTGCTGTGGACAGTACACAGAGTGGTGCTGCGAGTTGGTGCTGTATACTCCCTTAGTGGAAACTGCCATATCACGCCATGAGAGGCATGAGTCTCTACACCGGGTATATAAAGCATTTTCATGCGGGATACAATTATGATAGATATTATGTAGATTTTAGAGCAGATAAAGCTGTGTAAGAATTTATCATTTTGAGGTCGATTACCTGATGAAGATTACAACATTGCGCCGTTGCAGCAATCAATATGCAATAGCATGGTGAAGTTATATTTGTTGACTCATGCCATGTTCCCTCATTTAGAGCTAGTTCGGAAACCCATGTGAAGTCAGGTTGAATCAATTTGCATTCGGCAAGCATGGTCGGCACGGCACACCCCGAACGGCTGACTTTCAACCTTGCTTGCATCCTACTACTACCAGTGTACCACCATGGAATCTTGTTATCTCATCGATAATCTCAAGGGTGTCCATCTCACCCATCATAAACATATCTTGACAAGTGTTGTATCTCTAACAGCTCTTGCTGCACATTACACTACTGTTCTCATGGCTCAAGAGAAAGAGAAGGCATTTTGGACTGAATCAGAAGTAACTGCACTGGTCGACTACCTTCATGAACATCGGTCAGAGCGTGCCGAAGGAGGCAACTTCAAGATGGTAACATTCAATGGAGCAGCGAGGGATATCGCACCCAAGAAGACACAGGGCCCACAAAAGACTGGCAAAATGTGCCAGACAAAGTGGACATCAGTGAGTTGCTGATTTCAATCTACGTTATCAGTTTATTGATCTCAGCTAACATGTGTTTAGTTGAAACAGATCTACAACGCTATCGATAAGTATTGCAAGCAGTCTGGAATCAATCAGTGGCACCCTGTTACGCACTCAAATAGATCTGTTATGCGGAGCCCTAAGAGGGGCGTCGTCCGCTAACGTTCGTGACGTAACTGGAAGGGTCCGGTGTAGCGACTGAGACTGGCGACGACAAGTTGGCAGATATCAGAGACGCGTGTGTCACGTGACTTCTAAGACGGATGTCTTCAAAGTCACTGACGTTCTCAAAGTAAGGACAGTCTTGTCCGAACGATGAGTAGTCGATCGAGGTAGACTTAGGCGCGATGAGCACCTAAGAAAAGATACTAGAGACTGAAGCTGAGGGGGCTTCAGAGGGAAGTATGTTCGAGGGAAGATTGAGTAGATTCAAGTAGGGAATCTAGTACAGGGTGACCGACTACTTATACTAAGTGGAAAGGGTTAAGGGCAAGGCTACCGTACTGTAGGTAAGGGCAAAGGGGAAACGGAAAGGGTATAGGTACGCTGGTAGCAGAGCCTGATTAGTGATGTGAGGTCGAATGCAGAATGAGACCGAGAAACGTTGGAACAAGCCAACGGTAAATGATACAATGCGTAGCACGCATGAGTCAGAGGAAAGATAAGACAAGATAAGGAAAGCCACATTGGTGGCATGAGTCATAGCCCGAAGGCACGTGCGCACGTTGGTGCGATAGGAGGGGGATGAGGGACGGGAACAGTCCCGAGGATCCGGTCAACGGATAGTCGGTAGAGAAGTGCGAGCCGGAGGCATACGAGGGCGAGGACGAAGGGGAAAAATGATAGGGGGGCCATGTAGCCGATGTTACTTGTAACATTACCCCCGTTTCAAGGTAGAGTTCCACGAACTCTTTAATCATCGTCCAGGGGAACGTAGTCGTCCTGGTTGTTATACCACTCGGGGTTGAAGTCGAGGTCTTCGAGCCAGGAGGCGGCTTCGATTGCATTCTCTTCGTGTTCTTGCTCGAGGCGAGCAGCATCCTGGTCATATGCGGCTTCGAGCTGGCGCATGTCCCTGTAGAACCGGTCAGAAGAGGTTCCACGGCGAAGGATCTTTCTGCCATCGAGTCGAGGGCAGAAGGGAGTGAGATGTTTTGGGGCAAATTGCCCACAAATGCGGCAGAAGTATTGCGCGCAGTGTTTCTGTTTGTGTCCAAAGACACGACACTGGTGGCAGACAACGTTGCTGCGGTAGACCTGGGTGGTCTCAGTGGCATCACGATGCGCATCGTTGATGGCGTCTTCCTGGGCTTCCTCGCGAGGATAGTGCCTAGTGAAGTTCTGGGTGCGTGGACGATGCGCATGGGAGAGGGGTAGTCCTAGGGACAGGATGGATCGTGCACGAGCATGGTGATTTCGGCGTTGCGGAGTGGGAAGAGGTTCCGGAGAACCAATAGAGAGGTGTGGGACCACTTCAGTGGGTACCCAATCGTCGGGGTTGAGAACAGGTGGTTCGGGAGGGCACTCGTCCAACTCTGGGATGGTGATAGAGATGGTGTCAACATCAAGAGTGGGGGAGGGGTTACATGGAGCATAGAGCTCGCGTTCGTATTCCTTGTAGAGACGGTCGATCTCGGGGTTGGTCAGCTGGGTGACATTGGGGATATGCTCTGGTGATTCAGAGCGGGGTAGTTGGGGAAGGAAGGGGGTCGGAGCTCTGTCATAGACAGCACGCTCGACGACTGCAAGCGGATCGGGAGGGGGATTAAATGCCCGCTGTAGAGACTCGTGCATCTCATGGTCTGATATGGCGCTTTACACTAGGAAGTACATAGCACGAACTTGTAGCGTCACTCTGTGCACTACCCACAGCTATCTCTATATGACGCGCAGCTTTCCCGCGCAACGCGCGCCATGCGCGCACCATTCCCGCGCTTCGTGATGTATACGCGCGCACGTTCCTGCGCTTGCGCGCCCTATGGCGCCAGCCATCCAGAAGCATCCATCCACTGTCCACCAAGCTCCCTAGTACGTATATTTCCATTTCCTTTATTAGCATAGTTCCACCTTTATTTTTATCATAGTTTCTCACTCATATATATTTTTACATACCTACTCAGTAGCGCTTCAGCTCTGCATGACCGTGCTTAGGCGCGCTATATAAGCGCCAGCAGTACATACTACACTTTACCTTACTTTACCTCCCATTTACTTATTACTACTTACTTACTACTTAGCAGAACATAGTAGAACTCTATCTGTTTACACCTCGCATCTCTCTTCTCTTATCTAGTATCATATCATCACTTAAGTCTAACCTCTCTGTTGTTTCTGCATACGCACGCACGCTTTCCCGCGCTTCGCGCTAATACGCGCGCGTGTTCCCGCGCCTTGCGCGCACCTGCGCTTTCTCGCGCTTTGCTTCAGCGCGTACCTGTAGATCTTTGCTGCACTCGCTTCCCCTATAGGGTCGAACGCACTTGCCATCTCAAGTATCGCAGACTAGGCAACGCACGACCTACAACATTTATAGATACAGCTAGGAGCTATCTTTGTTCCTGGCAGTATTGTTGTTTCTACAACAGGTTGGCCAAACCAGAGTTCCTGAATCAAAGGCAGGTAAAAAGTTAAGCTTGTTGAAGGTTAAAAAATATGTGACGGCAGTAAGAAGCGATAAGCTTTTAGAGACATCACAAGGATACGGAAATTCAGATGTTCAAGTAACCAGATACAAGATAGGATTTCAAGAGCGCCAACTGTTACAATACTAGGTAGTAGTCTTAAATACTGTAAGGTAGACGGAGGCCCGTGATACTTTCTAACAGGCATATGATTCTCGTTTGTTTCAGATAACATATGTGGCAGGGGGCTTAGTAGCTTTTACTTAGTCAGTGATCGGCCTGGACCAGTCCATCCGTCACAGGCAGTGGTAGGACTTTAATGCTGGGTCAACTTAGATATACACCACATCCCTTCCACCACCCTCCAACCCCAGGGCAGTATGTAGTATAGGTTCCTTTATTAGTCTACTATGTATTCCACATATTTTCAATGAAATATTTGACCTGTATCATATATAAATGGGACTTTGTGTACAAAGATATCAATTGTCACTTTTTACACATATGTCATTTTACTTGTCATTCAGTCAGTCCTTCATGGATCTTTCTAAAACTTCAGATTCATCATTAGGGACATATATGAGAGGTATTCCAGATATCGGATTACTTATCACAGGCTTGATTGCTATGTAGGTTTCTTATCAGTAGAAATACCCTCTTTACATTAGATCTCAAATTTGCGCCCTATGTAGGGCTGATCCTTGTCATAAAAAGCAAGTATATATGCTATTCTAATGATACATGAACAGGCTAGATCATCTATGCAAGAGTAAGATACTGAAAAATGTCAAAAATGTCAAAAGTGTGATTTTTCATGTTTTTGTTTCTATAGCAAGATCCTATGTGTGTTCTGGGCCAGCTATATGATAAATCTACTCCAAATATACATAGGAATAGACCCCCTACCTCAATTGAGGTCCGGTCCTACAGGAAAAATTTTCACAGGGGGTAAACCACCAGGAGAGGGAGGCTACACCATGCAGCAGGATATTGTCCTATGGTCCTGTACTCCTGATACATTGTTCCTATTGTTGAAAAGATGCTGGGAATCATTTTTACAAGTCTGTTCATTTAGAAATAATTGAATGGGAACATATTCTGTGTTTTCTTGCATATGTGCTATATCTATTGATGTAGGACACTTCAGGGGGTGAAATAAAGATGGGAATCTACTCATATATGCTCATAAACATGTTCTGAATGTCATAGAACACTTCCCCACCAAAGGGGCAAAAATGCGAAAGTGTTCTATACCCTACCCTATGTTGAATTGCCCCTAGAGGAGGAGCAGTCACATAAACAAACAAAAAAGCAGTCTATTATATTATATTATACATATATATACTAAACTACTACTTATATATGCACAGGGACCTATTGTGGTGTGGTGGTGAAGCTGCAGTGAGGTGGGGAGGGTGTGGGAATAATTGATATTGTGGAGATTTCCAAAATGAGTGATGTTTTTGGAGTAGTGGGGAAATTCCCACAGTAGGTGGCTAAAAATGCGGTGTGGGGATAATGTGGGGAGGCCCTAATATGAGAAGCAATCTATTTTTAACTGATGTAGGCACAGTATAGCTAAAAATACAAAAAATGCGGAGTGTGGGAATAATGTAGGAGGCTGCAGGCCACCAAAATGGGTATGTTTTATGAATTACCACACATGGAATATATCCTGGAGCTGAGTTTCAAAAGTGCAAAAAATGCGGCTGTGTATGCTAGCATTTGGGATCCACCAAGGGATACATCTATTTGGATATGGATAATTCAGCTAATGGATGTATACTAGTTTTAGGGCTATAGCCCAAAGTGATATATCCATCCACCAAGATGAGGTGAGGAGGAAGGGGTATGGTGCAGGGCAACAAGGGCTGGTCCTATCAAAAAGTGGATTGGGGCAATGGACAGAGCCACTGAGGGATGGTAAATGGCCAAAAGAGCTAGATGAGACAGGCCTTTGAGCACCCAGAAAACCCTTATCTCTCCTCAACTTCTCAAAAACACCAAAAACTCGATATCTCCACAACTACTGCTCCAATTTCGATGAGCCAGGGCTCAAAATGATCGTACGGACGTGGGGAATATGACCCTAAGTTTGCGAGAGATCTGCTCGAAAAACGCGTGGGAAAAATGCTTATCAATGCGCTGGGGAGGAGGAGAAGATGCTGAAAAGTGGGAATGTGGGAGAAGCTGGTAATGAATGACTGTGGTTGGATAATAGGCGAATTTGGGGGATGATTGGAGAGCTTAGAGAGCCTAGAAACACAAGAAACCCTCGCGGTGGGCTCCAGTTGAAGGTACAACAATTCAGATGGTGAGTCTGAACAATACAGTGACTCAAAAAGGAAATGCACAGCATCGACATTTCTCCTATTCCTCCTCGTACTCGAGCAATAGACCATTTTGTGTCGTTCCACTTGTTGCAGTGTAGTGTACTAGGTCTATATTTTCAATACCATATGCTTTTATTGTGATACTTGGCTTTCTGAGAGAGCTGTCCAGATATTTGTGAAGAGAATGCTGTGCATTTCATTTTTAGGTTTAGTGTGACTTTACAGAAAATGTGTTTGTCGGCTCATTGCCGCACAACGTCACACTTGCACCACTTGCAGACTCATTCTACACCCTTGCTGTCACTAGTCATCCATGACAAAATACACAACTCCTACAAAGAAAGCTCGAATTTGCCGAGACAAAGCTGCTGGCATGTCTGATGGAGACCTCGCTGAAAAGTTTCAACTCCACCGCACTACAATTGGCCGCATCGTGAAACGCTTTGCTAAAAGTGAAGCTTACTATGATGTCAAGCCTAAATCAGGTCGTCGTCGCAAATTCACGACCAATGATGCTCGCTTCGCAGTCCGGGCACTGGCACGCACTCATGCACATGATGTTGCCGACCTGCAAAAGAAGTATTTCCCCGATATCAATGCTCAAACCATCCGAACGAGACTTCAGGCATGTGGCCTCAATGCCTACGTACGCCGTACAAAGCCTCTTTTGACAGAAGCTCACAAACAGAAGCGGTTAGCATGGGCGAAAGCTCATGCTGATTGGTCAGCAGAAGACTGGATGTCAGTTGTCTTCTCAGACGAGTCTAAATTCAATTTATTTGGCTCCGACGGCCGTTCGTGGTGTTGGAGGAAGCCTGGGGAAGAGTTTGATGAGCGCTACACAAAGAAGGTTGTGAAGCATGGTGGTGGAAATGTCATCGTTTGGGGGTGTCTAACTGCAGAGGGATTGGGCCGCATTACCCGCATCGAGGGCAACATGGATGCCAAGTTATATGTCGAAATCCTCAATGATGACTTGCTGGGGACCTTCCGCGACCTGGACATCAACAAAAAGAACGTCTATTTTCAGCAAGACAACGATCCGAAGCATACTTCGAAATTGGCGGGAGAATGGTTCCGGAAGAAGAAGATTGATAAGCTGGATTGGCCTGCACAGAGCCCGGATATGAGCATCATCGAGAACATTTGGGACTATTTGAATCGTCGAGTGCGCACTCGGACCCCTTTACCACGCAATCTCACAGAGCTATGGGCCGCTTTAGTGGAGGAATGGGGTAACATCGAGACGGACTACATCAAGAACTTGTATGAAAGCATGCCACGTCGTGTTGAGGCTCTTCTCAATGCTAAAGGGGGTCATACCAAATATTAGAAAGGTTTGTTGCATTATCTTTTGATTTGATCTCTGTATGCTCAATGTTTTCGCAGTGCTGCAACTGTCAAAAATGAATTGCACAGAGGTTTTCACATCAATTGCTTTACTACATTTCAGATGATACATTACACTACATTTCCTTTCCTACTCTAGTACATACGGACTTCTAGCTTTCTCTAGAGCCTACTATCGTGACATGAACTGCGCAGGAGGAGGAGGGAGACGACAATTCGTCAAATTAGTCATGCTGTGCATTTCCTTTTTGAGTCACTGTATGTTGGGTCTTGCAGAACCTAGCTGCTATTCGACCCTAAAGAGTTTCTGGACTAGGCTTAAGGCTCAGAGGAGAGGAAATATCATAGAAAACTGCTGAGCACTCAGACTCATACTGGTAACTGGTGAAAAGATTGCTTGATTATATAAGCTACAAAAGTGCCAACATAAGGTAAGGTAAAAACAGTCTCTACAAGCCCAACCAGAAATGAATCCCTACACCGCGCCCTCCATTGACGATGAGCCTGGGGTGGATGCCCCAGGAGCTCAGGCTCCTGGATCTGCTAGCTCCATGAGTGCCATCACTGGCATGAGTGGCGGATCTACTAGCTCCACAAGTGCTGCTGCTGGCACAAGTGGTGACGTCATTATGTCTGGGACCAATACCATCACTTCTCCTCCTCCCCTGTCTAGTGCTGCCACTCGACCAACTATCTCTACAACCTCCAGTACTGGAAAGCGCTCACACAATGCCACATCCATGTTCCATGATGATGTGGCCACATTCGCATCCACAGTACCTTCATCGACATCTGAACTGCCACAACAATCTGAGGCTCGAGCGTCAAAGAAACAGAAGTCGCGTGCAACCCAGTCACGCGCTGACAGTGGCCAATCTGCAATGATGACCAGCGCTGCAAGAGCAGCCAAGATCACGCCAGCTGCAGCTGTTGTGGGCATGCAAGGGTCCATCAATCGTCTCACCGATGTGATCGAGAAGAATATGGTTACTGATGCGGAAAGGCTGGAGAAGCAGAGACACACTGCCTTGCATATCTTGAACGGGGAAGACGCAGACTACTATCTGTTGCAGGAGAGGGTCATTGTCATGCACATGTTTGCAGATGACCCGGCTGTCACCGACATATACCTTCAAAACGATGACAAAGACATGCGGTATGCATTCATCCAGCACATGATCCAGTATAGATTTCAGAAGGTCCCGCAAGCACCACAAGTGCCATATGTCCGTCTGCAGTTGTAACTGTGCCGCCAGCGCCATGTACATAGTTTACCTGCCATTTGTTCAATCTCGCATGCACTCATTTCTTTTTTTCATACTCAATCACTAGCTGCACTAGCTGTTTCCATACCGAGTACTTGTTGTTTCCGTACCGAATTACATGTGTTTCTAGGCTACGCTTTCCAATTCGCTCTTGTCCAACGCGTCTGATACCTCCGAGTCTGAACCTGAGTCCAACAAAGCCCTCTCATGTATGACATCCTGATACTGATCCCACATTGCTTGCGCAATGCATTCACACATTGCGCGACCACTCACCGCATGACCACTATTGTCGTTCATTTCTTCATCGTCATCGTCATCAGCTTGTCCCTGAAAATCAGGGTTCTCAGACGCGTATGATTCGCCGCGCGACTCTTCATCCTCACTGGGATCATGTAGGCATAGGAAGTTGTGGATTGCACACAATGCAGCAGGAATTCGTGCTTGAGTGTCGAGGGGGTACTCTGGTGCCAAAAGGAGAATGTGAAAGCGGTGTTTTAGGACACCAAAAATGCGCTCTATCACGTTTCATGCAGATGTGTGGCGTAGGTTGAAGAGCTCCTCTTTATTGACGGGCCTGCCATCAAAATATAAGTTAGAGAAATGAAGAAGTTAGAAAAACATACCTGATATTTGCATGGCCCCACTCCGCGAGGTGGTAACGGACACCACGGTATGGCACAAGAAGTTCAGGGCAAAGCGGGAATCCTGCATCCGCTAGGTAGTACTTCTGTCGTGGAATGTGGAAGTCATGCGCATGCGCATCCTCATAAATCCGAGAATCATTAGCTGAACCCTCCCACCCAGTCAAAGAGTAGACAAAATTGAGGTCGAAGTTGCAAGCAAATAAACAGTTCTGCGAAACGAAACCTTTGCGATTACAGTATACAGTGCATTCGAAGGCAGGGGGCGACGCATGAATATGACTTCCGTCGAGTGCGCCAACAGCATCACAGAAAAACGGCCAAAATTTGGGGTTGTTTTTTATTTTTTTTGAGACTGAAGTGCCGTCTGGTAAGTGGACGTAGGTAGTGTGGAACGGGGGGACAAGAATATGTGTAGAATCCTTTTAAAATAACTAGGAAATATTAGATGTATTGTATAGATCAAAAAATAATAGCGCTCACCATGAAATCGTATCGTTCGATCTATTGCGTGAATTACAATGTCATCCAAAATCATGCACGTGACTATCACCTCAGCCTCAAATTTTACCTTGGAATTTTCGGACAACCTCAAATCATGTGACCAGCGCAAGTGGTTGAAATTGATTTGTCATTGTTTGCGCAGGACGGAAATTTACATGCAAGTTCCTTTCAATCCTTCTTTCACCGCTACTACCACCACCTCTCAACTCAGCATCTTCATTCCTCCCATTTGTGGTGGTCCCTCCCTGGCCTTTTCCTTGTGGTACCTCCTTGGCCGTTTGTGGTGGTTCCTCCCTGGCCTTTCCTCATGGTTCCTTCCTGGCCGTTCGTGGTGGCCCTTCCTTTCCTCATGGCCCTTCCTTTCCTCGTGGTTCCTTCCTGGCCGTTCGTGGTGGTCCGTCCTTCCCTCATGGTTCCTTCCTCTAGCCGTTCATGGTGGTCCTTTCCTTTCCTTTCCTCGTGGCTCCTTGCTGGCCTTTTTTCGTGGTTCCTTGCTGACCTTGGTCCCTCCTTTCATTCATCTCTCTGCTATCTTTTCCTGTTTTCTTTTTGTCCTGTAACTACATATGTAGTATTTAAATATAAATAAAATTAATTTGCTTCATAAAACGAGTGCTGAGGATGAGAATAATTTGGTACTGGTAACAAAATGGCAGGTTGTTGCAGGCAATCTGTCATGCTGGCGCTTTTGGTAGTTCTGTCTAACTTACTCCAGGTAGTATCATTCTCGCAGATATCATGTAAATTTTGCAATTAGATAAAGCATTGTAAAGCTTTATATTTTCATGTCAATTATTTGATGCTTCGGAGTTGTGAACCTCCCTTTCATTATGGCATTTCATAACATTTTATACGATAATCAGGGACGCGTCTTTCCTCTATAAGGTCAAACATAACAATGTGATTGTCTATAGCAAAATTATGCTAGTTCTTGCGATTATGTACTATATATTGTTATTTATTGCTATCTACTTTCCTCACGGGTTCACTGATGTTGACAATGGTTGTTGATGAATGTCCGTTGGATGTGCATAAATCTTGAGGATGAGTTATGCCTTGGAGTTGGAGTTGGAGTTGGAACCACTGAACCGGACGTTGCGTTCGGTTCACATTTCAGTTCGGCGATTGAACGCTGTATGGCCCAGAGGCCACATCTGCAATTCATGGGGGAAAAGTGTGTACAGCACAACAAGTGCGCCACAGTTCAAACGTTCACTTTTGCACTCTGCTTACCGCTTGATATAGAGCCATCAATGTATGACTGCTTGGCATTTACACTAGCCAACCTTCCAGAGTCATAGGCAAGAAATGAAATTCAATCTGATTATTCAGACTAGGGCGCTGCACCATAACGCAAACGTGGCTCACAGAGTGATTTCAGGATGTTATTACCTCGCAAGCTTCATCACCAAAAGTCCCAAATCTAGATATGGCAAGCGCTTGCCATATCATACGACAACACTGGGGAACAGATCCATCAGACAGGCCAGGTACCACCAGATCGAATTTGTCCAGATAATGTCTGCTCCTAAAACTGACTTTCTGCTCGCTGGCCATCATCCTGCTGAATTTTCCGCCACACGCTGGCTATATCTAAGTCATGCTCACCTTTCGTTATCTAGATGTTGTAAAGCCCATAAACTGGTTTGATGCTCGATGTCGTATTGTCTGGTGGCTGCGTCTAAGTCATGCCAAACTAGATATTGCAAGACTTAGAAACTCGTTTGACTCTCAATCACCAGTCATCTCCTGAACATCCCATCATCTGTTGGCCAGCATCTAAGTCCTGCTGAACTTCCATCGTCTAGGTATTGTATGAACGAGACGCGCTCAGTTGCTGAACGTTCACCTATATGCTAGTTCCTGCTGATGCCTGATCAGATCTGTCATACAATATAAGCACATATCATTCTGCTCGTACAGTAGTAGTTGAACATGTAAAAACACTCATAACCAGGGAAGTAGTACAACTTGAACTGAGGATGGTCGCAGTGCGGCAGAAAGCAAGTAGGATTAATATTGAAGATGCTGAGCAAATATGAGACACTCCGAGAGTGATAGTAATGATGTGCAACGAATGAGAGGAGGGCATAATCATGTCAAAACTGCATTGTTCATTCAGACGAGTCACTAGGCACAATAGGAGTAAGAACCAACCTGAACGCATCACTTTCTGCCCTTGCGTGTCTTCTTTGAGGTTGTGGTAGTCTTGCAAGCCTTCCTAGCACGCTTTGATGGAGCAGGCATGTCAGTCTCATCTTCAGTGAGAGGATCGTCATCTTGAAACTCCCCCAACATTCGTTTCAGAGACTCTGGGTCAATGGAACTAGGTGTCGCAGATGGAGATGCGAGGGGCGGAATTGGTGGGTCAGCAGCCTTGGATTGTCGCATAGAAGTTGGGGGCACAGCAGTGTCTTCAGCGACGGCAGCAGCTGGGGTAGCAGCTGCATTCTCGGGCAATCGTGTCTGAGTGTTAGAGGCAGTTAGTATTGGAGAATGATAGAGTAGATTCGAACCTTCTGATGCACAGCCACCATGCACATTTCGTGCTGTCTCTGCATGACAACAAGGTCATCGTCTTCATCATCCTCGGTCAAATCAATCACGATGAAGCCATGCTTGTTACTAAATACTGTTCTTCACAAAATTAGTGCGATGCCAAGGTAAGAGCAAAAATGGTACTCAACTGGTTCCACCACTGAAGCAGCGACTCTGCCCATGTTTGATCAGGTGCCTCTCTGATTGCCTTGATGAAGCGGGTGTATGCTTCATTGTACTTATAGCAACCATCGGTTTCATGCCACTTGTCGCGCGTGGCAATACTGAATCGGCTCTATGACATTTGTTAGATAGTCATTGAAATATATTAGAGCACGTACCTGGACGAATGCATAGGCAATATGTTCAGGCTCAACCTTTTCCATGCCGTGTAACTTGGCATTACATCCACGACTCGGAATAATCTCTCCATCTGGAACGAGCGCAGATGATGGAGATGTAAATATGTGATGAAAAACCTAAATACTACATGAGATGTTGTTGATAAGGTAATAGTAAGCTTACCCGTTTCAAATAATAGCCCTTTGAAAATCCCTCCTGAACATTGTCTGGGTCGAAGTCTTTTCCTGGCGGAGTACCTTCATATATAAATGCAGGCCATGCAGCGGAGTGAATCCTGATAACCCCATTCTGAAGTTTGGCTTGTACCCTGAAAGTCGTCAATAAGATGATGAACAATCATAGAATTCATACGTACTTTTTAGGGTCCTCATGATATGCTTTTGCATGCTTGATAGGGCACAGCATTGCAGCGAGTTGAGGGTGGTTCACACCAAGTAATGCGCGGGATTTGTTGTCAGCGTAAATCGGAGGTTCCAGCCCCTTGTCTGAAGGGTCTGGGGCTGCATACTGCGCTACACAATTCTTAAGGTGGCTAGCGTTGTCAGAGCGTGCCTGACCCATAATGACTTGCATCTTCTTAGGTTTAGAGGTAAGATCACCAAGGGTACATCACCAGAGGCTTACCTCAGTAAGGATAGCGTGCAGCTCCGTCTGTTGTTTGACGTTTCCATGCGCAAGTTTGCGCAAGTATGGGGCTCCAAGTAAGATCTTTGAGTAATTTCTCATGTGTCGTTCTTGGGCATCTTTACCCCTGTAAACATGGTAGTTAGGAAGTGAAAATAATGGAATGTCTAAAGTCATACACGTAAGACAGGACTTGGTCTCGCTGCGCCTTGACATCTTCATCTTCTGAGTGACCCGACACCTTAGAAGCCTCTTCCTCTTCCATTAGCATCGCAATACGGAATGTATCAGTTAAGCTACAAAACATATCGATGGCACGAGGGATCCAGCGTGCAAAGTGCAAGCACTGTTCCCTCGCGGTGATGCTGCCTTTCCTATTGGTAAAAGGTGACGCAGTGCCTTTTGCATATCATCAAGTCAACTTACCTTTGGTTATTTACCGTGCTGCGAATATAATAGATCAGCTCAGTTAGTATACCAGGTTATTGTGCGACCACTTACTTGTTATGCTTTGCTTTAGACTTGGCCTTTGGATCTTGTGTTGGTGGCGACGAGGCATCTAAGCTGGAGGCCAACTCAGACTCAGAGCCACTGTCCAATTCGGATGGTGTCAGTAAGCGAGTGGCCGCACTGGAAGATCTGTGAGCAGACATGAGAGAAAATGTGGGAAGACGTTTGCATCAAACGCTCACTGACCACCACACTAGTACTACTAGTAGCATTATCATAGTTGCGGTACCATCAGGTACGTCATACACTTAACCATTTTCGTCCCAGGTAAGGTCGCCACTCCTGAAACAGGATTTTTTTCAGGGAAGGGAGGTGGGGTGCTAATCCGGATCATTACCTTACAATAAAAAGTGGGGAGTGACGAGACGCTAGTTATTAAGCAATGAATCAATAAATCTATATGGATATAATTCAGCTCACCATGCTCCACATACTTTGGGATCCGACAGAGTGACACATTACAATGCAGGGTCAATAATGACCCAAAAGAATTTCTGAAATGGAGCACAAGTCAGGCTAAGTCCCAATAATTTAAAAGCCTTACACTTGACGGAGTAAGCAAGAAACATGTCATCTGACTGTGACACCCTTAGCAACGACTCCCACCCCAGCGACTTCAATGATGGGCTTGAGGCAATCTTAGCGAATGCTGACTTATTTGAGAACCATTCAAACAGGTCTACTCCAGAAAGCACCAGGGATGCACTAGGCATCCTGGCCATGGGCAAGGCGCTCCAGTATATTCATGTGGATGCTATAAGCATGATACGCTATCCGGAGGGTTCGAACCTGATGACTGGCCTCCTAACAATGAGCAGGCGTTTCAGCTTGTAGATGAATTTCAACTTGGAGCTGAACAGCACGAACAACTGGAGCCAGTATGTATCTATGGATTATAGTTAGCTGCTTTGATGACTCCGATTTCAGCAGCTAGAAGCTCCAAGTCAAGATGGTCTTGAAGACGCTGATGAATCTCATCAAAAGCGAAAAAGATCTGAAGATAATGGTGTGAGTGTGCTGGCTCAATTTTTCAGCCGATGCACTCACAACTTACATGCAGACCCCATGCAACTTAGGTCGTGACGTTACTAACGCACGAGCAACGTCAGTACCTATCATCGAACTTCCGCCTGAGAAACGCAGGAAGATCGGAATATTTGAAGGCGGATTGGTGGCGAAGGTCATGCAGGAAGTTGTTGGAGTGCGTGAGGCTATGAGTAGGATCGAAACAATCATCAACAGGCAAAATGAAGTTCTTCATGAAATCTGTAACGCTATTGAAAACCATGGGATGTGAATTGTTGTATATAAACTCACCGTACTAGTGTAACAACAATCAGTATTTTAACGAAGGTGCATGCTGTTGGGCTGATAACAATGGGTAATGTCGAAGATACAATCCTCAAATATTTTCGAGGCCTGGCCAGTGGATGAGCGTGACAGAAACGCCCTTGAAGAAGTTCTTCAACTGCCTGAACTGCGGCAAATCTGGGCAGAGGTCCAGTGCATGAAGGTCGTTCTGCTTGAGAACAGCAAGAGCGGCGGTCTGAAACCTGCCAGCCTGTGGATGAGCGTGACAGAAATGCCCTTGAAGAAGTTCTTCACCTGCCTGAACTGCGGCAAATCTGGGCAGAGGTCCAGTGCATGAACATTGTTCTGCTTGAGAACAGCAAGAGCGGCGGTCTGAAAGCTACCCTGCTTGAACCTGAGATTTAGATTTACATGAGTGTTAAGTGAGACAGGCTTGCTTACATGACCGCTGTCGACACATCAATGTTCTTTCCAATGGTAGGGTGAACACTCCTGATAATTGTATGTTGGTCAAATGTGTGTCGCCACAGAGATCCTGAGCTTACTGGAAGTATCCGCGCCACAGTTCTAAACCTTCACCCAGGGTCTGTATCCCGGCATCTAACCTCTTACGAGTTCTTTAAGGTAAGGGGCGCCTGTAATGATCTTCTTGAACATCCGGAGCATCTGGTCCTGCATGTCTTTGGATCTTGTCACTGTTAGCAGTAAATAAACACAAAAATATCACTTACATGTTAGCTAAGAGAGTACTGTGTGTCGTCTGCATTAGAATCATTGTCCAAGTGAGCATGTGCATCCTCGATGATAGGTGCAATGCGAAAGACATCTTTTGTATGGCTAATATGCAATATTAGTCAATATATGCGTGCATTTAGGTGAAAAAAACTTACGATCATGGACATTTAGTAGTCCAGACAGTTGCTTTCGTCAGGCCAGGGTCAGCCCGTTCTACTTGCACCTGAGCAGATGGCACCCGTTGTGCAGGAGTGATAAATGGTCCGCTAAGACTCAAACTCAATTGATTAGAACAGACGGGACGGACGGGACAGGCTGGCGTGGACGGACGGACGCTGATTCCCTCATTATTTGTACATGTTGACGCATTTACTGCTTGACCGGCATTTGCCGGCGGACTTCTGAAAAGTCACATGCAACATTTCGGACTTCGTCAGAAACTCCATCCTCGACATCTACAATTCTTTGTTGGCGGCAGCGGCCTCCTCCTCCTGCTTGCGCGTCTCTTCGGCTTTTGCAGCCTCTTCCACCTCTCCGAGTATGCAGGAGCTCGTCTTCGAGCTGTTTCCTGTGGGCTGAGGGACAGAGCAGGGCGCTGGATATTGTAGTATCGGTGAGCGTCCTTTCTTTTCGGTTTGCTTAAACTCCCCTCCCTACGAAGCCCGGTATGGCCCGTCCCCGCCCCGAGGCTGAGTAGTGGAGCGCTGCTTCCCCTTCCACCACATCCACCTATTTTGACCGTTTTCTTTCTTTCTTGCTCACTCTCTATCTAGATTACGTCCTGACCAGCGACTGCTGCTACCCAAGGTCGCGAGGTGAGATCGTCCCTTCAATTCATCTGCATCACCAACACTAACGTCGTCCTGTCCCTCAGTGTCATTTCAACGCCGACGCTCCGTTCAAATCCGGGTCGGATTTGCTCCGTGCATTCAAGCCTTCCTGCCATTCCTGTATCCCGCCCTCAAAGCACACGAAGATACCCGGTGAGTTTTTTTTTTATTCTTATTTTTATTATATTTGCACTTCACTTCCTGGTCCAACACACCTCTAGGAGGCGACTTGGACCAGAGGCTGTCAGGCTGCGAGGACACGCCTCTAGGAGGCGACTCTGAGCATTTAAGCCTGACAGTTTTTAACTTTTATCATATCGATTCCTACTACCTACTATGTGTACTGACTTCGTTTCTTGTACTAGGCTATCTATCTTATTTCCGGCCTGACTTCTGGCCGACTTCCACTGGCAAGGCCCTTCGTCGCATCTCATAAGGCGCTGCTTCCGTCCGCACCAAGGGCGAGGCAGGCACAGGTAACGTTGTTGAGGCGGTCCACCACCAGCGATCGGTCATGAGTGAGATCCGAAAGGCTAGCATTATGAACGCCGCTGGGGGTATTGCCACATTGAGAGCGAAGTGCTAAATATTATTTATCTTGGCTGACGCTTCCATACGATATATATATTTAATATTAATATTATCAGCTTTGATCCGACCCAGGACTAACATTGAATCTTATTCAATAGCTCCGAGTGGGCCGAAGTTCCTCAGCCGCTGTCCGAGTCGCATCGCTCCGAGTCTGAGCCTTTCAACTCTTCGGTCAAGATGGAGCAGCCCTGCCTTGCCTGTGGTAAGACCTTTCACACACAAAGATCGCTCTCTGGGCATCGTTCCCGCTGCTTGCAGAACAAAGCTCTGAAGCTCTCGGACATTTTACACCGTGCCATCAAACGGCACAAGTCTAACGATGGAAGGAGGTCAAAACGGCCTCGGATTGAACAGGAGGAGGTGATGCAGGAAGCGAGGGATGGTGAAGCAAGGGCAATGGATGATAGCGGGATGGATGTGGATGATGATACAGCTGTGGTAGATCAGGTATGTTTTGTCTGGATCGTTAGAGCCAAATCTTACAATGCACTTACCAATTCCAGAATATTGGTGATCCATCAAATGTACCTCCAGCCCCTACGATCACATCAAAACGTTCTGGACGCACTATTCGCATGCCACGTCGATTCGTTGACTATCTTCCGGGCACACGTACACACCTTGCACACATGCCTTCAATTGTTCAACAGCGACATGCAGGCATGTCGGGTAGAAAGGCCTGTGAAGCTCGTCGCATATGCCCTTAATGAGAACGAAGCTCCCCAAAGCTGCATTGCTTCGTCACCCCAGCCGTCACCACCACCCTTTGATCTACCTGATCCTCCCCAGCCTATACCCTTCCAAACACAACCGGATATGTTCGGTCTGTACAGCATATATCCAATGCGCCCCACTCTGGCCCCAGAAGCTAACTGCACACTAGAGGGCGTCACAGATGCTCCAACCCTTGAGGGTGCATGCGCTACCCCTCACAGAGTGCACCCAGGAGTCTCCTCCCCTGAAATCAGTGATGACGATCTGTTTGGAGCATTCACAAATCTGTCATCAGCCCTCTTGATGGCCTGGCACTATTCTGGCAGTAATGCAAAATCAGCAACTGAACTCAATCGCCTTGCTGAGTTCCTTCGTGATCCCAGTTTTAAGCAGGCTGACTTAGTTGGTTTCAATCACACACGCGAGAGCAAACGGCTAGACGATTACCTTGATGGTAGATCCAATCCCTTCCACGAACATTACGGCTGGCAAAGGTCTACTGTCAAGATCCGCTTACCCAACGAGAAGGCTAAGTTCCCATCAGAGACCGACGCTCCTGAGCTCGCAATCCCTGGCGTTTACCACCGTTCTCTAGTTGATATCATCATGCGCGTGTTCGAGGATGATGTGTCACTGCATTTCAACATGACTCCATTCCGCCAGTACTGGAATACCCCAGATAATCGAACACTGGAAGTTTTCTCTGAATCCTATGCCTCCCCTGAAATGGTGAACGCTTACAAAGAACTGAATGCTCTTCCCCGAGATCCTGATGACAAACTCGAGCGTGTCATTGCCTCACTAATGGTCTGGTCAGACGCCACCCACTTAGCAAGCTTTGGAGATGCATCTCTCTGGCCACTTTACTTATTCTTCGGTAATCAGTCCAAATATACACGAGGAAAGCCTACGGCTCGTGCGTGTCACCACTTGGCATATATTCCCAATGTATGTATACATCTCTTTACAAACATATTTTACTGAACCTACCTGCAGCTGCCACATAATTTACAAGACGTTTATGTGGATATATTTGGTGAACCAGCATCAAGTAGCACGTTCACGCACCTCAAACGCGAGTTGGTTCACGCAATTTGGGAGTTAATTCTTGATGGAAAGTTTGTGGAAGCATATAAGCACGGTATTGTTATTCACTGTAGTGATGGGATTACACGAAGGGTATTCCCTCGGTTTTTCTCATACTCCGCAGATTATCCAGAAAAGTGAGTCCTACCTGACATTACTTGGCTGATATTGATGCATTACTCGAGGATACTGCTCACTAGTATCAAATTTTTGGGGCAGCGTCCATGCCCTCGCTGCCTTGTTAAGAAGACCGACATTCATATGATGGGAATGGTACTAGACATGAGGCGCCGGGTCACACAGGAGCGCACTGATAGCCTACGACGAACGGCAACGAGTGGAAGAGGCTCGGAAATTGATCTTCGAAATTGGAGCTCCAGTGGACGGCAGTCGTGTCAAGGCGATTCTTAACGAAGAATCATACGTGCCAATTCGTGTAAGTGCTACTATATGCCTATTAACATTCACACTGACTGATAATTATCATTAGAACACATTTTCTGCACGACTAGCAGACCATGGCATCGACATGTTTTCACTGTTTGTGACTGACCAACTGCATGAGTTCGAGATCGGCGCTTGGAAAGCACTTTTCACACACCTGATGCGAATCTTGCATGCAGCTGGAGGAATGGCAGTGCAGAAGCTAAATGAACGGTAAGTCATTTTTTGATGTGATGCATCGGTGCCAAAGGCACTCGCCCACTTGCAGATTATGTATGCTAATATCCTTTCTAGATACAGAGGAGTCCCTACATTTGGTAGAGGAACAATTCGCCGCTTTCACCATAACGCTTCAGCCATGAAAAAATTGGCCGCTCGAGACTTCGAGGATCTTCTGCAGGTCAGTAGCCATACCATTGATATCGCGTATCATCTGAATTTTCTGTCAGTGTGCTATGGCTGTATTTGAGAATCTATTGCCCGAGCCTCACAATACCATAATCCTTGACCTTCTCTTTGACCTAGCATCATGGCACGCATATGCGAAGCTTCGGATGCATACCACCGACACACTGGATTTTTTCGATATTGCCACCGTCATACTTGGTCAATCCTGTTCGCAAGTTCTACAAGACTACATGCAATTACTACTTCACAACTGAACTTCCTGACAAGTATGCAGCACGAAGTCGTCGAGAGGCTGCATTAGCTGCGAAACAAAATGTAATGTCCACCGCTCCAGGGAAGAGAAAGGCTGGACCAAAGTACAAGTCCCTCAATATCTCGACATATAAATTTCATGCGCTAGGAGATTATGCTAACACAATTAGGCAAAGGGGCACGACGGACAATTATACTACACAGCCAGTATGTTTCATATTGATTATCTAGTATCATTCTCTTATATCCCTGCTTAGGGCGAACTCGAGCATCGACATGTCAAGAGATGGTACCCAAGGACATCAAAGAACAAGAAGACCATGGTTGCAACGATGACACGCCTGGAAGCTCGTGAACGACTTGTTGCAAAGGTGCTAAATCAACGTCAGAAGACCCTGGCATCTGTAACGCAGCAAGAAGCACGCAAACGCACATCACCCTCAGCACACTATCACATATCAAAGTATCCGAAATGCTCACATGATATATTTGCATGGGTTGGTGAGCATGACGACCCGGCAATCAAGGTGAGTACCCAAAGTATTTTCACATCCCCTACTAACTTCATGGCCTTGTAGGACTTCATTCCACGTCTTAAGGATCACTTACTGGCACGACTCCGTGGCATAGATTACTCTGGTGACGAGCACAATTTCTCTGATGAGGACAGGAATCAGGTGATCATTGTCAACAACCAACTCCGCGAGCACAGCGTACTGCGGATCAACTATACAACTTATGATATGCGAAGAGAGCAAGACTCAATCAATCCTCGAACACATGCGGATGTCCTGATGCTCTCGCATGAGAACGACAATGACCGACACCCTTATTGGTATGCCCGCGTCGTCAAGATTTTTGATCTTGATGTCTGGTATCATGCTCAGGGTGCCACCAGCATATGGGCCCCAACTCGTATGAATGTGCTTTTTGTTTGTTGGTTCGGGCGTGACATTGAATACAAAGCTGGGTGGTCAGCCAAACGACTCTACCGCATTGGATTCTTCAAGCATGATGACCCTGAAGGCTTCGGTTTTGTAGACCCTGACCAAGTAATTCGGGGTGTACATCTGATTCCTGGATTTGAACACGGACACACTGACACTCGGCTTGGGCCTTTGTTTGGATGTGCTACGGATGATGACAATACAGACTTCAAGTATTTCTACGTGAATCAGTATGTATTCTCTATATATTGATATCACTCTGCTAATACGTCTACCCAGTTTCGTTGACCGCGATATGTTCATGCGCTTCCGAGGAGGTGGTGTTGGTCACAAAGTAACACGAAAGTGGGATGAGTTTTTGCGGAACGACGGTGCTGTGCCATCACATGAGGAAGAAGACGTTCAGCTTGACCCGGAAGAGTCTGACATGGAGGATGAAGCTGTGGATGATCATGACAGTGATGGGAGCACACATGAAGACCCAGGCGACGATGAAGAGAATGAAGTTTGGGTTGATGAGGAGCTAGATGATGATTTTCTTGCACGTGAGGGATATGGCGCCTTATAAACTGGTGAGGATCATATCTGCTTTTCCTGTGTATCAATCCTCAACTTTCGTACCTGCATTCACAGAGTTGCTCCAATCTATACTGGCGAACTTGCTCACACCAACTTTGCTTCTCCGCACTCATGTCAGGCACTCATAGGTTTTATCCTAGCTTCTGTATCTATCCCACAATTGTCATTGCATGGCCATCAAACATAGGGTGATGTCTTGCCAGTGGGCCTAAGTTCTTGCTGCATCTGCCGAGTCACTGGTGGCCTTACATTAGCTAGCTCCAGGTATATCAGGCATCAGTCGGGCTGCAGGTGGTATAGCATAGTAGATCATAGTGCATCATTAAAATTTCATTATGACAACCGACTTATCATGTACTCGTCAGCCTGAACATTCTCCATCTATTGCATGATTCAGCCTGATTGTGAATATGAAAGTGATATTTGGTGATCTGTGCTCGCCATACATGAGCTAGACAACCACGGGACCAGAATCCCTAATCAGGTGGCGTCAGGTTTTTGGACTTTTGGTGATGTTATACTTTACACACAAACATATATAATGCTATAGCCACCGCCTTCTAGATTCCTAAACCAGTCCCAGATCAATTTGAGAGCATAGCTTTCCACATTGATCATATTTAAACCCTACGCCTGCACGGGCCAGGGGTTCTGCAATAGTACTCGGCCCCCAATTACACACCGTCATCAACAATCTGACCCTCACAACAGCCATGACCGACTCCGGCAAAGTCTACCACCGATCGTGCACCGGACAGCTCTCCAAACCGTCGAACAACACGCTCAAGACCAAGACATCACACTCTTCGCAAGCTGTTTTTGCCCATTCGTACAACGCGTATGGGCTGCGCTTGAATATCTCGAGATTCCTTACAAAGTGAGAGAATCTTTCCGCGAGTCGTACTTGAATGAAGGGCAGACTGATCGAGGGTGATCATAATCTAGTATTGTGAGTCAGCGTGCCGATCATCGATGCAACAACTATGGTGATGACAATGACTGTTTGCCTGGTTTGATGGATGGCAGACGAAGTCGATCCCTATCAAAAATCGCAAGAACTACTAAATGTCTCGCCAAAAGGCCTAGTCCCAGCGCTCATGCTCAATACTTTCGATCCGCCTCGTGCGCTCAACGAAAGCACCGTCATCCTCGACTTTCTCGAAGAGTACGTTTCATCCCACACACAGAATCCCAACATTGCTAAAACCGGGTGATGATCACCAAGTATCGCTGCAAAGTCAACGCACAGAAGCCTCTTCCCGCCATCAACAGATCCATGTTTGTGAAACCCAACATAGGTTTTCAGGCGCTCACTTACATATATCTTGTTCTTTTGCCAGATGCGAAAGCGCTCGTCCGGCTCCAATCAGATCATATCAGCCGAATGCTCGTGCCCGCGTTTTACAAGTATCTTCAAGCTCAAGATCCAGAGGCGCAAATTTCTGGAGGGAGAGAGTTTCACGCAGCTATTCAATCATTGGTCGAGCTTTTCGAACGCGCGGAAAGAGAGGTAGGGGGGACAGGGCTTTGGGTTGAAGGTGGCGATTTGGGATTGGCGGACGTCGTGGTCGCACCATGTGGGTCTTAGTTTCTACTCATTGATGGTAATGGAAGACACTCAAGGTCGTGACTCCAGGGATATTTAGAGCGACTAATGCGTTGAAGCACTACCGCGGGTTTGAAATGCCGCGAGGAACCAAATTCGAAGCTTGGCTAGGGAGGCTTTTCGAGCATCCTGCGTTTAAGAAGACTTGTAGTGATGAAGAACTGTATCTGGACAGTTATGAGCGGTGAGTGCATGTTTCCGATGGGGGCGGGGTGACTTACATGTCTCGTAGTTATGCATTTAATCGCCCGAACACGAGTCAGGTGGCTAATGCGATTAATAGCGGGAGGGGCTTACCTTGAGCGAGACATGCAGAAATCTAATAAAGTTAAATGTATTTGTATTTGTAAAGTGATGAAAATAGCGCTATGGGGTCTCAACTGTTTGTGCTGCGGGAGATGAAATTTAAAGTTGGTCGGTGGGAGGTACTAAATTCCCAGTAGGCTAGGGGACAATGAAGGTGTGATAGATTGCATGATCATTCGGGGCTTGCTGCTTGTCGTAGAGCTATGATTCATGAAGAGTGAGTATGAGTAGAAGAGAGGCGTGTGAGATGTCCTCCTTCACGTGCCAATTCTCTTTGATCCAAAATATGACGCGACCGGTGGGGACGTTGCACATACATGAGCTTCACGAAGCGTGCCAGAGAGAACTCAAAGAGTAGGCCGAAGTCGAATGTCCCTTTTCCTTCACCCAATGAGTTTCGTTTCCGTCGAAAACATTAGTCAAAGTCCATGTAAGGAAACCAGACCTTGACGCAAACTGGAATATCAGGGAAAACTCTGAGGTAGACCTTTACATTTTATGACTTGCTCAGCAGCAGCAAGCTCTGCTTCACGCTGAAGCGGATGCTTCATGCCCTTGATGCGGATTCACCATTCGCCGTAAGCAAATGCTAAGAGTTGTCGAGACAAGTAACAACGTTCGACCCTAGTGAAAATCGGACAAGACGCCCTCGTGCAGAGACTGATTGGTGAGTTTCGTGTAGTCAGTAAACTCATATCGATGGAAACCCAAGTTATACAAACACATGTTGAACAATCTGTGTACGAGTTGAACATTACGTACTCAATGCTGCGCGAAATCCAACTTCAACGTTTCAATGGGTCGCCTTTCCAGCACATATCAAGCTCCCCGCCCAGAAGACCATTGCACCACCAAAAGCTGCATTCCAGACAACGCGGCCGACTTTCCTAGTGGTGTTGTCAACACGTGGCGTGGACCCGAGAAAAGGAGCGCAGGGAAAAGGAGGTGCACGAAGAGAGATGGATCTGAGTGCGTGGGTGACACTCATTGCGGTGAATATTGACGATGAGAGGAGTCAGATACAAATGCGGGGGAAAGAGAGCTGAGCTGAGTGCGAGTGTGGCACACGTCTTTCATCCTTCATGACTGATGCGAAGCAGGACGACGAAGACCAAAGAAAAATCCACAGCAGTTCACTCCTTTATACACAAAGTCTTCCGCTTCGCCAGTTGAGCCTTGTGCCTGCGTTTGGATTGGTTGTACTTGAGATGGTTGCGCCCCTGCTGGTTGATTTGATTGCGTTGAACTGTTGGCCTGGTTGCTGTTCGTACGTTGCATAGCTGCGGCCGCTTCAGCATCAGACTCGGGGACAATACCGATTCTCTGCAATGTTTTTGAATGGAAAGAAAGAGGACAGGCGAGCCACCCACATTTTCATCTTGAGCAAGAGGTACATCGACTGTGCACGTAGAATGTCCTCCAGAAAACAACTTGAAGTTGAAATTCCAGTGTCGGAACTGTCGTTCGATTGGTCGAGATGCATTTGCAGGTCGCGTACCGAAATGTATGGAACTGAGCAAACGACGCCAACGCATAAGGGACGATGGGCTTGCGCGAGGAGCTGCACGACGAGACGCGTGGTCTGATTCGTCGCCAAAGAAATCATTGCCCTGTATCTTGGTGTCAGGCGAGAAAGGTCAAGTACAAGAAAGTACACTGACATATCTTGCCAGTCCAGTTTTTTTAGCCTGCTGATTAGACGCAATAGGGAGGTCAAAGGCCTAACGAGACACGAGAAAAGGTGGGGTTGCTCACGATTGGTGGGCGCACAACTCTGGGTTGAGCTGTACGTTCCTGATAAAAAGTGAGATGGAGCGTGAAAGAGAAGCAGATAAGACTTGCCTTGAGCTTTGCATTCCCATCATCTGCGCCCTAGATAGCCAAAATCATTAGGAAGGAAAATTGGATAACAAAGCGCATACGTACCACAACGTGTTCGAGCGCCGCCTCCAGGTTCCATACATATATATTTTTGTTTAGTCCAGCACTGGCGATGTATTTTCCATCGCGGGACATGACAACAGCCAAGAGTTGGTCATCATGCAAGAGTGGATCTCCGACTGCCTGATTGGTCTTGAGATCCCAGATTCGAATAGAGTAGTCCTCTGATGCGCTAACGATATAGCTTTCATTGGGAGCAAGACATAAGGATCTGACGGACTGGGTATGACCCCGAAAAACGACGAGTTCCTGTCCATCAATCGCCCGCCATTTTCGGATGGTGTTATCGTATGACCCGGAGAAGATGTGTGCGCCGTCCTTGGACCAACATAATGATGACACCCAGTTTTCATGTCCCTTGATGTCGATAAGCAGCTTGCCGTTCCTTGACCATATGCAAATCGGACCGTTCCCACCGCTCATGAATTTGTCGCCTTGTGAAGAGTATTTGACGGCCCAAACCCATTCGTGACTGGTCTCTATGGGTGGTGCTGTTTGTCGACCAGTATCCGGGTTCCAGCGTCGTATGGTGCCGTCTTCCGATCCACTTGCTATCTCCAGGGGATTGCGAGACCAATCGAGGCACCTCACTGCCGCGTTGTGCCCCTCCCACGGGTCGCCGATCATGCTGCCCTCCTCTATATTCCACAGCCGCAGTCTGCCATCTACACTTCCACAAATCACCATTTTTTCGTCTGGAGACACTGCTATCGAACCTATCCCTCCCCCATCACTATTCAAAGGTTTTCCCACTGGCTCTCCATCCCTTTTCCACTGACGAATCGAACTATCACCAGACGTGCTCATTATATTGCAACTGGTGCCCAAGTAAGCAAGGCTCCATATGCATTGGGTGTGACCCTCGATGATGCACTCCGGCATCAAGCTTCCTGCCGGACGTTCTGGCTTTGGTTTCTTCCACGACGTGGTCCGAGTATTGTGGTTGACGAAGTAGGACCGACCGAGTGGAGAGATGTGCCATTCGCATCCGGGAACAGCGAGATCTCCAGGATCATCTATGTTCAACCGTGAGTTCGTCGCTCCTTCTCGCAATTTCGTCCCTCACCTAGTCGCACTCCTGGTAAAGGTCGGTTCCACGAAACCATCGTGAGCACGTCATCTTGATATGCTGTGTCACCATCCGAGGACGTCTTAAATTGATGCCACATAGGAGGAAGCGCTTCATTCCCGCCTGATTCTAGCTGAATAAGCTGATAGGTATCACAAGGTGGCTGCTCACCTTCCCAAAGTGCATCCTGGCGATGCTGTGCACCATATGGTGGTGGATCTTTCGCGCTCATCCGATATATCGATGAGTGCAATGGCGCTTCTCCCCGTCTCGTTGACGTAGTAGTACTCGACTCGGCCTCCTCGTGTGGCATGACCTTGATCGATATAGGATACTGGGCTGTACAGACGGACTGGACAGAGAATCACTGCGCAAAGTCAGTAATCGAGGGGAGGGGTACGGGTTGAAAATATTGAAGAGACCTGCTATTTGGGTCGGTTTTGCATGCTGTAGTTTCAGGCGCTTTGCTGACACCGCAGGCCAATGGCTGTGCTACCACCGGATCAAGTACTTACGAAGTTGGTCCGGTTCCAATTTTGAGGCAGTTCGATGCACATTAGTCCGTCGTGTACGTCTCGTCAGCAAGTGTAATAGCATGTCATGTGTTTGAGCAGTGCTTGATGTTGGCTGCGCAATCATATTGTTATAATCAACATCTTCTGAATTCGGGCGTTGATACAGGCTCCTTCCCAGCCCCACGGTTCGAGTGTGGAGGGGCGATATCTGATGGCATTGTTGTTTCATAAGTCACATGATGCAAGAAAAATTCAAACCCAGCACAACCTTATTCCCCCTCACACTCTCACCGGGGGCTGGAAGATAACATTTGTAAACAAAGGTCAGCCACAGTGACGGTGACCGTGAAACTTCGAAAATATGAGTTTGCACCTAGCGTAGGGTTACAAAATTTCGAATATGATACAGTTGCTGGTAAGATGTAACGAAGGCGGCCCAATTCTCGGTATTCTGGATGGAACTCACCCCATTCCGTGATACAGTGGGCTTCATCATATGGAAAGCGGGAGTGATCAGCTTCGTAACAGCTTCGCTAAGCGTGTTTGTTTGGCTTTTACCTGTCAGACCCCCAACCACTGCTTGAGAGAGACTTAATATTAATGTTTCTAGTGATATATTCAAGATGTATTGCTTGTCAAATTATGAGTCCTCCAATGGTTACAGATAGTAAATCAGGTGCTGATCGTACCTTAATGCAATGACAGCGCAATCTGTGACGGAATTCAAAACAACTCGAACGTTCAAGTTGACGAGTGCAGGATTGTGCTCCCAACATTATGACTGATCGTTCTCGGCGCACCAACCAGCATAAGCCATGTCGTGAGTGTTAAGCCTGAATCACTGCCAGTTTCACTTATTTTTGAGCGAGCATAGCTCCTGCCAGGGAAATACAAGATCCGGCTCAGTTTTATTTCAAGCTCAACATGAGTGATGTTGACATCGTGCACCACCTCAAAGATCATTATGACCAGGAGGAATATGGACTCAGGTTCGTGTCTTACATATGTCCAGTGCAACTACTTCAACTAATTTATCATGCTAGCATTGTCAGCTTTCGTCGGATGCGAAATAGCTGGGGCTGGAAACGGACCAGGCAACAACAACATACTCTCGAGTCCATCAAACAGCATGTCCGGGAGATTCGACAACAATTTCCCCACCGAGGTGCCGAGGCCATCAGACGAGACCTGCGCCAGCAGTTCAGCTTTCACGTACCCCGGTGAGTTGCTGTCTACTTGCTAGTACTGTTCACTATAAATTAATGTTTGAACAGCGAACTGATCGCCAAGCTTCTCAAGATCACAGAGCCAACTGCTGTGGAAGCTAGGCGTCGTGGACGTCTCAAACGGAGGCGTTTTTGGTGTGCGGGGGTTAATGATGTCTGGCCCCAAGACCAGCACGACAAATGGCTGCGCTTTGGGCTATGGCTGCATATCAGCCTCGATCCATTCACCAGCTGGATTAATTGGCTGAAAGTTTGGTGGACCAACAAGAATCCACGCCTTATTGCTAAATACTACCTTGACTGTTGCCGAAAACTCGGAGGTATGTCACCAAGCCCCTCACATTGATCGGACATTGATCATGTCAATTTTTTTGTGATCTCAGCTGTACCTTTGATCACTCAGAGTGATCCAGGCTCCGAAAATTTTGCTGTTGCCAATGCACAAACAATGATTCGGCACTGCCTAGATCCAGCACTCAACGGAACACTTCAGCACTGCTGGATGCGAAAGCACCAGAACATCAAGCCCGAAATCATGTGGTCTGTGCTTCGCAGGGACTTTGCTCCAGGTTTCGAGAATATCCTGGAGGAAGGTGTCACTAGGGGACTATATGACATTCACAACACTCTGCAAAAGTATGCATCACTTCCTTGCATATGTATTCACTGACAATCTCCATCTACTATCTAGCTACGTGTTCCGCTGGCTTGCAATTCCATGGCTCCAGGCTGAGCTTGATGCATGGGCTCATCGTAGAAACCATAACGCTCCCCGCAGGGACAAAAATAAGATTCTTCCTCACGGCATTCCAGCAATCATTTGTGCGAAACCTCACGAATTCAATTCACTTGACTTCAAAGTATGTCATCCATGACTGCAGCTCAACACTACTTACTCTTCTCAAGGTTCCAGTGCCAAGTGCGCTCTTTGACGAGGTTGAAGCAATTTATGCTCCCTCTGATCATCCTGTCTTCAATCTTGTCCCACCTTCATTCGAGCAACGCGCACAATACCTCTATACCTCACTCGGCAAACTGCAAGTATCGTCGGATTCATTCTGGAATGTATATCAGATGTTACTGGCGCAGTTCCTTGCAATTGAAGGTGAAGATGACCTGACAGTCCTGCTTTCACAGGGAGTTATGGAACCTGAAGATGATGATGTTCTATTGCTTCCGAGCTTGCAGGACCTCCCTCAAAATGCTGGCTTAGTAGGACCTGCTGGCTATCAGTATATGGGAGGCATGGTGAACCCGCCAACACAAGCACTTCACGGTGTTCAGGACTGGGGATCACAAAGGGAGGATCAGGATGATGAAGATCAACCAGAGTTCGCAGAGTTCACGGATTCTGAGTCCGAGTCTGACAGCGGAAGGGACTGTAGCAGAAATGCCTAGATATACTTTTGGTAATACATTAAGGTTGTCAGCATCTCTCCACTGTAGTGCTGCCGCTGTCAAGGTGAGTCCAACTCGAGCTAAATCTCCCACGGAAGCTTTAAACTCCGCTGGGAGTGGTGTCCTAGACTGGCGAAAAGACTTAGTACCATCTATGTACATGTATGAATGTACAACTTGTTCAGCTCCGAACTGGAGGCGATACATACAGTGCGGCTTGGAAGCTGGCACGGACGCCAATGGTTCGGGAGTAGCAAGTTGTACTAGTACTGTGAGACGTACAAGTTCTCCAACTTGCCCCCCCCCCAAAATTTGTGCAGGTGCAAACTCCCAACCCTAACCCTAAGCTTGATGGCCCGGTTGAATCATTGGTAAGTCCATCACGCTCTTGTTCCTTCGTTCACTCCTTTTCGTTATTTATTCATCACACTAACAGACACTTCACCCCAGCCGAAGCTCTCACTCATTGGACCATTCATGCGACCCTTTGCGAAACTCGCACAGGAACTTGCACCACCGTCAACGCCTCCGCGCTCAGCAGTACTCACTGCAGCCACCATGCCAACTCTTCCGGCACCCATTTCAGCACACACGTCACCCATCTTGACGCCATCAGACACGCTAATGCGTGTCCCCAGCTGGCACCCATCACCACCACCATGCAAACCACCAAATGCCACGTCACTGGCACCTTCTGTTGCGCCCTCGCCATTCAAACCACCATCGCCGGTACTATGCGCGAACGCCCAGCACACGTCAGCGAATGCTGATGTGGCTCAAACGGACGCGGACAATGAATGGACGCAAGAGGAACGATTATGGCAAGGAGATGAAGAGAAGGGAGGAGGAGAAAGGAGGAATGAGGAGAGAAGAGGAAAATGAGCAGCGGGAGGAAGTGGAAGCAAGACGATTCGTTGAGGAGGTAAGCAGCCTCATACCGGGCCTCGCCATAGCGTCACCACCTGCCCATACTGGTGCCCACTACTTCGCCAGTGCTCGCCATAGAACGGCCCAGCGCGTCACCACCCGCCCATACTGGCGCCCACTACTTCGCCAGTGCTCACCATAGAACGGCCCAGCGTGTCACCACCCGCCCATACTGGCGCCCACTACTTTGCCAGCACCAATGCCTACACCACCGGCTTCTACCAGCATCAGGTCACCCGCCCCAACCACGCCATCAGCGTCCGCGCCAGCTCCACGCAGTCCCAGCCTTCACAGACACAAGGCATTCAGCACTGGTACTCACCAGCAAACGCCAACGGTATGGACACATGAGTGTGCAGTTCGTTTCTTGCAGGACTATCTTCCCAAATTTGTGGACACGCATGCACCTGCTGTCCTAGCTGCTGTCAATGCTGACATGCAAGATATCATCGACGCTCTCGATTCGCTCATCCAAGCCATTTCCCGACAAGCTCACGTCATGATTGCTCAAACTAATGCGCTTATCCAGTATTCAACAGTGCAGTTTGAGCAAAGAGCTCCGGAATTTGAGGCAATCGTGGATGCTTTTAATGCCTGTAATGAGCATGCACAGCATCGTGCAAAGGAGCTCAAGGATAATGGGGCGAAATGGCTTCATGAAGCTGGGGAAGCTCTAATGCACTGTGCTTCACGTGCGAGAGGGAAAGCCAAGGAGATCACTCAGGACATGGAGCAGATCTGGGCTGAGTCGAGAGGGTTTCTAAGATGCGTGGCGCACAGAGGCGTGGGCCGAGGAGGGGTTGTAATAATGCGAAGAATTGTAGGGGGGGTTGTTCAAAGAAGTGGTGTGCCGACCGTGTGTCTACGACAAGAATGCCAAAGTAACTAGTCTTTTGAAATATCATCGCGAGTTCCCAGAACCATGCTCTTTTTACCAAAGTCATCACTTTTGTCATCAGACTCTGAGTCTCTCTCGCTGTCAGCAACTTCTTCTGGTGTCTTATGGAACAATGGGGGTATTGGACGAGACCAGTCCCATGGCAATTTGAAAAATTCGCAAAACATGTTGCACCGATGTTTCTCCACAAAAGATGAAAATGCAGATGCCAAGTTGCCATCTGCGAACAGGTGTCCAGAAAGATCACTGATAATTGCTGTCAGCCGCTCATTGATAAGGATAGTAGTAGGGATGTAGATTTACGGAGAAGTCATAATTTGAGGATCAGTTAAAAGATTCCTTCCACCTGTCAAGAACGAATAAGCTATGTGTAGATATCCAAAATAAAGACGAGCCTTGAAAATCTGCAACGTAAGCAAGTTTCTTGGTCTTGATGTATTGGACGTGTTGTGCAAATGACAGGTACTGGGCAATTTCACTTGAATTTGCATCAAGGTGTGGCAGTGGGGAAGGCGAGTCGTTGGATATATACTTGGTGAATTTCCCTTGCATGGACTCGTCAATGAACTCTTCAATTAGATATGTTTTGGTAACACCAGCGTCCTCGATAGTGGCAAGAGCAATATGCATGAAGCGGATATTTGGAATCTTGAAGGGAGGTGTGCTGCAAGTCACTAGTTCCGTGGCAATATATTGCTGAACCCGGTCCATGAGTGCTCCTGCCCATATGCTGCATCTAATCTCTGGCTGCAGCAGCTGTAGTTGCCGAGAATCGGGATAAGGAAACCGCTTGGATTTGTCGGTCTGGTAGTAGCACTGCTTTAAGCAGATGCGAGTTGAATCAGATCCAGACGGTCCAAGGATAGCTTTGTCTAGAAAGCCGAATTGTGCTGCTTTGAATGCTCCATACTTCGGTTTGCTTCATGGATCGAAAAAAAGAGTAGCCTGCATTGGGGGGGCAGTAGTATTTGTTATGTCAGAAGTGGTTGGATCAGTAATCAGAGCAGATAGTGATATGGGGGGGATTATCCGCAGTAGTGCCTTGAACGTGCAAAGAGTGAGAAAGGGTAAGTTTGGTTGGGATATGGGAATAGCTTGCGCTTGAAGTGCATGGCGAAGTGCACTAACATCCGGAGATACTGCAGCATCCAAAGTCCGAGGCTTTTGAGGGGGCGTGGATGGGACAGGAGGCTGTGTGTGATGCTAATGAGCATAAGGCTAGTACTAGAGTTCGAAAGAATGACTGACCGATGATAATTTGCGCTTGACAGGGTGAGGCGAACATTGGATGCCATTTTGCAAATTTTTTGATGGGGACACCGCAGATAGTACTAATGCAGGACTTGAAAGATGTTGGATGTCAGATGAACTTGCCGCTGTTGCGTGAGGTGTATCCTGGTTGATGTATGCTGTCAGTCATGTAAGGTACCAATAGTCCATGTCAAAAACGAACATCGCGAGACTTGGACTCAGCTACTTCCTCACCATTTCGCCTTTGCTCAGTGGCAAGGAACTTTGTATGTGGAATAATGAGGTGAAGTTCGATCCCCTTGCCAGCGTTGAACTGCTGCTTCATGTTCCTGGTCTTGAGGAAGTGGGATGCTATGGCATTGATGTCTTCTCCAGATGGACGGGGAAGAATCTCCTCGAAACTACTAACAAGACGCAAATGTGCCTCTTCAAACGTAAAAGTAAGACCCATGGACCACTTGATGAACATGGGAAGTAGGGTGAGGTACACCGAAGTTTTAAGGTCATTGGCACCAATACGGTAAGGGATGTTGCTGATTGACTCGACTATATCCTATAGAAGATTCAGCGAAGTCGGTGAAGTTGAATTTGGAATTGTAGAGAGCAACACTTACAGATATTAGAGTTGGTTTTTTAGCCCGTGGAATCATCACTGCAAGGTATGCCTTGACGCATACCACTTCGGGAACACTTGAAGCATAGGCCTGTCGAGCAAGCCGGTCTCGCATCTCTTCATAAATTTTATGCGCATCTTGATAACCAGGCTTGAGTGGCAGAGTTTGAAGAAGGTCTGAGTACACAATAAACTGAGGGTCCCGACCATAAATAGATATGTTGGGCCCTAATGGATTTGCACGGCGGATGTCTGAGGGGCCAGGAGCTGCAGGCCAGTTGGGTAAAGGAACAAATTGATGATTTGCTGAGGCGCGCCTCGGGTGAACGGGACCTGGGATGAATGCAGGTGGAGGCATCCCACATGATACACTAAGCCCCACTGCACGAACAGGAAGTTGGGATTCTACAAAAATAAATGAAGGTTTGTATTCAATATAAAATGCAACTGTACTGGGCGACTCACTTCCACGCTGCACCTCTGCAGTCTGCTTGTGAACTGCAGCACCATCATATTCAGACTGGCCGAAACCATGCTTCGAGGTATTTGGAATTACTAAAGAAAATTATTGTCAGACTGTAATGTGACAAAGTCTGCACACCGAGCAATTATTTTACCTGCATCACTTATTTTCTTGGTAGTGAACTTGGAGCGCTGGTATCGGCTGCATTTGTCACAAAGCCATTTACCGGGCTTGCTCGGATCTTTGTGCTCAATATAGGTGATAGCAGGTACAGTGCCAGGATGACCGCTAAAACAGTTGGCATACTCGCAATAGTGCTGGTCAGCATTTGTGGTGAACTCTGCAGCATACATGATGATGGTGGATTTTTGGGGGGTTTGGATTTAAATTTCTGAACCGTCAGATTCAAATATTAGTGCTACTAGAGGCTCGTCGAAGCAAGCAAGGGCCTTTGATATCACCATTTGATGCAAGTCTATGTGCGAGTGATGATTTCTCATGTCAAATTTGCAAGGCAAGAGATCTTAGGCACCACGTCAATACAATGTCTTAATCTCATTCTGTATGCACAGCCACATTTATGAGTGTAGTCGGTAAATCCTTCATCGCGTTCAGTGGGTGATTGGGGGTCTGGCAGGAGAAGAGCCAAACAAATGCCTTTTTAGTCCAGCTGATCACTCTCGCCGAAGCTGATCACTCCCGCTTTCCATATCATCAATGATGATACCTACAAGGTAAGAAGCGAACAATGGGTCCTTCAGAAGCTTTTCAAAATCGCCGTTTGGTCTCATGATTTGTTCAGGACTGACTGCAACAGCACGGTACTTTAAGGCTTTAATTGCCTAATATCATGTGAGTGGTAACATTTCGTAGCGTTTCAAAGTAATACGGACCGAGAAGTTTGCAGCGCTAGCAGTTTCTGCATTGATAGCAATGGCCCAGATGCCGGCCTTCACAAGAGATAATGCATTTTGTTTTCCCAGTAGGTTCAGTGGAGTGATGACGAGCTGGATGCTATTGATGCGAAACAGCAACGGAATCCAGAAGCCAAGGGTCTTACCCATCCCTGTGCCTGCAATGCATAGGACATCCTGGTCGCCTTTGAGGAGAGCATGCGCTACTTTCAGCTGCCACAGACAAGGGCGGACACCGAATTTCTCCTGGGTCTTTAGATAGATTTCAGATAATGCAGGAGTCTCACGCAGATTAGGAGCTGTCATCTGTATAACAACGGGTGTAACAATAGCCGGGGATAAAAAATACATATCATATTCGAAATTTTGTAACCCTACGCTAGGTGCAAACTCATATTTTCGAAGTTTCACGGTCACCGTCACTGTGGCTGACCTTTGTTTACAAATGTTATCTTCCAGCCCCCGGTGAGAGTGTGAGGGGGAATAAGGTTGTGCTGGGTTTGAATTTTTCTTGTATCATGTGACTTATGAAACAGTACCGACAATGCCATCAGATATCGCCCCTCCACACTCGAACCGTTGTCTTCTTAGATAGATGATCTATAGATAAACACCTATAAAAACAAATATCTCCACGGTCAGCGATTCAGACAAATACCAATGACTGATAACGTGGTCGTTCGTGGGTGGCTAGTTGTATACTACCCAAGGTATGTTCAGCTAAGGATACTTCTGCAAGATCAGTAATACGATGGTCAATCCAATCTTTGGACTTGACAGGAAAACAAACAAACAATGGTCAGCCCGACAGTATGGCGATGACCAAAAGAATATACGGGTTTCTTCCTCAAGTTCCCTTTCAACAACAGTGCCTCGTGCCAACTATACTCCAAAAGAAATGGTGCGGAATTACAATGATAAACTCCCTCAGCACAAAACAGGTAGAATCAAAGGTCAAGACTAGTCAAATGCTTTATTGTAGAACTCTTAGCTCAATATTGAACCTGCTGTCAAGGAACTCTTCTTTGAGTATTCAAACAGACTCAGGAACGGACGTCCTTGGGTTTACTACCAAGTCCCCTCTTCAATGGCTAAAGCCTAGCAGGCACAGAATATCTTGGCTCAGTATCGCTACTCAGATGAGTGAGGTCAAGCTTCACTATCAATTCCTAAAGTCTCCCCACTATGCTACTTCTGAGTCTTAGGTGGACGTAGAGACAACACGAATATTTTGGATCAGTATTTTTGGACAAAGAACACCAAAGGTCAGTGAAAGTAAAAGAAAAGAAAAAGAATAATAGAAATCAGAATAAAAGTGTGGCTGTACCTTGCTTGCTGGTTGTTGCACACAGTGAGCTCACAGCGGGTCGTTCAGTATGATGAGCTTGCAGTATTACTGTCTCTTGAGAGTGTTCCTCTCAGTCTTGAAACAGTTCTTGACACTGGTACTGACACTTATCACACCTTACTTCACAACTTAGTGTTAGTTGGGCTGAGAAACACCCTACTACCTGCTGGTATCTGCTTTTTTTTTATTTCAAAAACTGAGGTCATTATATACACAATAAATGTGGCTGTGCTACTAGTGTATTCAAGAGTCATCAAGAGTCATAATGAGTCATAGTAAGTATCTAGAGTGAGTCGTAGTGAGTCATATATTCAGAGGGAGTCATAGTGAGTCATTGGGTATTTGCTAAGTCATGTGACCTGTCCAACCCCTGATGACAAATCCAGAAGGAGAGTAAGAAGTGTCACATGATATGAATCCTGTGCGTGGCTGTCTTTGCTTTGCTTTGTTGGAAGGGTGAGAATGACGCGAGCCTAGTATTTAGGGGTTTACTAATGTTTTTCCAGGACAACATATGTGGGAAATATTTTTCACAGTCACCTGACATGTGTGGGATTCTGTCTGGGTCATCACCATGGCTGACTAAGCAAAACTCATCGCAGAATTAAATGTACTAAAATATTCAGGCTGCTGGCATATAAACTTGAAAAAATAAAAAGAAAAGCAAAAAATATTCCCTTAGCCTCAGTCCAACTTCAGATAAAAGGGAAAAGGGTTTCATAGTGGTATTTCAGGGTATTTGACTCATGAGAGAGTATTGGTCGTCCATGCACCGAACCGGTTTGGTGCAGGTCATCTAGTGGAAACTGAGAAATCAATCATCCCCGATTGCAAACTCTGAAGGGGGAAGGGTGTTCAAGCCCTAGCTAGGCTGGGTTCATCTTCTGTGTTAGGAAAAGGGTATCGTAATGGGTTGGTCATGATATGGTTTTGAGGCAGGGGTGGAAGTTCTGCCTGAAAATCTTCTTGCTGGGTAACCCGTAATCTTTCTTCTATCTCATCAAGTGCACGGTTCAAGTCCTGTGCTGTTATGAATATGTATTCACATGTAGGGCACCGCCACCGGAGAAGGTATGCACCCCTTATTCTTCCACGATAGGGTCGTACATCTACCTGATAATGTAGATCTCCATGTGGATGCATTTCTCCTGCGTGCCATGTAAACGAACTTCCTAACCGATCAATCTGACTTTCAGCTATAGTCAGCTGGCTTTGGAAATGTTCTTCATTTGAATATATTTGACCAAGACGAAGGTATTGGGTGGGTAAGAACCCGGGTTCAGGCTGAGGATTTACCTCCAAGCCTTGCTCAATTCGTGTTGCGCGATTCATTGTTCTCCAAGACAGATTGTGGTACTTGCACAGATATCGTCCTCAATAATTTCTATGTAACCCGTATGTTTGCTTGCTAGGATGTATAGAGCAAGGGCGTAGATAGTGTACAAAATGAGTTCCAAGACTCGCATAGTTGACTACAGTTATGGTACGTGTTTGATTTGCGGAGACGAAAGACTGCCGAACGTAGTATATGGAAATGCAGACCGTAACGGAATGATGTATACTACCAAGAAAAAGACTAACTAATCAGCTATGAAAGGAGTGTACTTGTCAATTAGAAGAAATCAGGCAGTGGATCCAGACCCCTAACAAGGCTTAATATTTCATCATAGCGGCGATCCTGAGAGCTTCGTACCAAAATTTCACTTCCGAATTCCACAACACTATTCCCAAAGCTATCCATTCCGTCCAATTGCTTCTGAAAGTCGTCAAGGGACCGCATAATTGCGTCCGGCTCTGTGGCCTTGAATTTCCTGAGACACTTGGTGCGCTTCTTGCACCAGCGTAGAAAGCGAAGGTGTTTGGGAAGGGAAAGGACGTGAGTAGACAGGGTAAGACGAACGGGCGGTGGAGCGAGTGGATTAGTGGGTTCATAGTCCAATGGAGTGACATGTACAACAAAGACGTCCTTGTAGTGCTCCACTACTTCCGAAACTCGGCCAGTGAAGATCTGGTGGAATTTGGACTGGTCCTCTAGGCGCACAATTTGGCCGAGGGCAAAAGTGGCGTGATAGGTGCAGCAAATTTGGTGGTACGTCCAGCAGCGGTCCGGTGCGGAAGTGTATGCATCTGGTTTGGTTTCGATGATAGGGTGCCGATGAGTCAGGTCGACAAATGACTTGGGATGGCGGCGGAAGAGCATAGTTAAAGAAAGAGAGGAGTGATTTGCAGCCAGAAAAAGAGTGATATTGAGTAGCGCTGTTGTGTGCCAGCGGAAAACTGAGGAACACCTTCAAATTTTGGCGTCCTATATATGAAAGTTGTACAAGGGTCTTCAGGGATTTAAAGTATTACTATACTAGGCAAAATTGAAAGTCCCTGCGATCTAACCCCTAAATGAATTTGTGAATGAAAAAGGCGCTGTCTGTTTTATTAATGCCGCTAGGGTTTTAAGTTATTTAAGGTTTGCATTCTTCCTGTTGCCGAAATTAGGGTTCCGTCATTAATTTAGGTTCCGGCTCAATTGATTGTCCTTCAGCGCGCAGTAACCAGTGAATCAACAAATAGCATGTGGGGCAATGTCTCTTTACCAATCGTTTGTATCCCAAATCCCATAGTACAGTTATAGTAAGTAAATATCCGGAAAATAGAGTGGCATGTGAACAGTGTATGTGATGTACAAATAAAACAAGGCAGGCTGCTTGTGTTTCATGCAATAAGCGTTCCTCAGCAGGTACGCTATTCATTAGAAAAAAAAACTTTGGGGAGGGGAAACTAGGGAAAACTAATCTAAAGAAAATGTTACCCACGACTGAACTTCTATTCTTTCAATTTCCTTCAGGTGAGCTTCTACGTTCTGGGCCCGTTGTTCTAAGGTAGCGCAGATTGGGCAAATCCAGTTGGGAAAATTTGATAATGTATCCCGTTCTTCTGGGCTTAATGGTTCTGTAAGGTACGCGTTCCCAGGTTCTAACAAAATGTCACTAGTTCCTTCTGAGTGTGTATGTTTCTCTAGCACGTGGCCGATCCAAACGGCTGTAATGCGAAGCAAGTTAGCGCAGGCTTTCTGGCGCCACATCTTTAGCTGCTGTGGGGAGTAGCTGGCTTTTCTTTCGCTATTCCACTGGTCCATCAGAATCAGGGAGAAGATGTTCCTTTTCAAGTTCCTCAATTCCTTGAGAAAGTCTCCAAAATTGGTGCGAGTTTCTTGATATGTATGGCAACAGTCTAAAGGCAGCGACTCCACGACGGGATATTATACCGTCCATTTCACTTAGTACATATGATCCTCCCTGAGTTCGCCGTTCTACTTTATAAGGGCCAAGATAACGGGGTTTAGTCTTTCGGTTTAGTTCCTTTTCTATCCGAGTGTTACGTACCAGTACCAGATCTCCTGGTTGATAAGCTTCCCGTCTTAATCGCTTTGAATACTTCTTCTCAAACTGCTCTTTTGATTTGAACCGAGCTTTCTTTAGGGTTTCTGCTGCTTGCTCTAGGTCTTCGGGACGTCTTTCAAGCTGGCGTATTCTAAGTGCTAGTAAATCCACTGAAGTCATTCCGCTCTTAAATCCATCTACCATGAATGTAGCTTCTGCTAAATCAAATGGCAAAACTGGGTGTACTCCGTGAACTAAATAGAATGCAGAAAATCCTGTCACCCGACTAGTGGTAACTCGGTCCTGCAAATAGAGTTTGGGGGATCTTCTGAGGCCATTGTGTAATGTTTTCATTGCATGCCTTTATTAATGCTTCTCGTAATATGAAATGCCCTCTTTCAACTACTCCGTTAGCCTGAGAGTTGTATGGTGAAATTGTGACATGTGGAATATTCACTTTCCGCATAAGGGCTGAAAATGCTCCTTGCACTTCTGGTCCGTTGTCGGTAGTTATTTGCCCAATAGCTCCATATCTGCAATAGAGGTCTTCCCAAAAAAATTTGCTAAGGGCCTTGGCATTAGGT